CATCTCTTGGGTCTGCTCCCCCAACCCTTCTTAAGCTAGGTGTGTGTGGCGTTGTGGTATCCCTGGTGCCTGGAAGAGGGGTGGAGATAAGGCCCGTCCTTCCTGGTCTTCAGCCTCCACCACTGTGGGGCCACCTGGGCTGGCTTCACCCGACCTGCTCCAGACGAAGCTCAGAGGGAGGGAGTGGGATTGACTCCCCAGGAGCGGCCGGCAGAGGGAAGAGCGAGGCTGGGGGCAAACTTGGCCGGTGCCTTGGGAGGGCCAAGCCAGAATGGTGCACAACTCACCCTTTTAGCCGCATCCAGCAGGTTGTGCAACTTCGGCCAAGGAGGGTGTAGGAGAAAAGGAAGGAGACAGGTGGACTCGTTGAGGTGCAATTTGGTGGCTGAACAAGCTGGCTTGGTTTTAGGACACCCACGGTTTTTCCTGCGTTCTTTTAGCCTATAAACCAGGATTTCTCAACCTTGGCAAGTTTAAGACAACTCCCTCTGGGAGCTGAAGTGCGCAGGTCTTAAAGTTGCCAACTTTGGGAAACCTGCTCTGAACTTAGAAGTCTAGAGTTGGCCAAAGCAAGAGAGGAAGCCCTTGTCTTGCCCGGGACAAGACTCCAAAGGAGGGCATTGCCAACGGACCACCATCCCCCTGGACTCGAGGGCATCAAGACGATCCCACATTCGGATTGGGGTACAGAAGGATTTAAAGAATTGGGATAACTTACAGTTATCTCTTATGGGTAGAATTGCAGTTATTAAAATGAATGTCCTACCAAAATTTCTTTTTTTGTTTCAAATGTTACCTATCTTAAAGAATGAACTTAATTTCAATGAATGGCAGAAAGGTATTAATAAATTTATTTGGGCAGGGAAAAAACCAAGGGTAAAACTTAAAATTATACAAGACATTCGTGAGAGAGGTGGACTCAAGGTACCGAATTTGAAATTATATTATGACGCTGTGGTTCTAACACTGATTAGCGATTGGACGAATTTAACAAATGTAGAAATTCTCCATTTGGAGGGTTGGGATTTACTTTTTGGATGGCATGCCTATTTAATTTTTAATAAAAAAGTGGATCGGGTTTTTAAATCTCATATTATAAGGATTTCTTTGCTTAGGGTGTGGAGGAAATATTATAAAAGTGATTTTAAAATACCATTATGGGCTATACCTTGGCATGCGATAGAGGGGATAAAGAGAGGAGTTAAGATGGATACGGTTTCCTATACACAACTACTTAGCTGGGATGGTCAAAATTGGCAGTTAAAATCTTTGGAAGACTTAGTACATGCAAACATTATTTACTCATGGTTTCAATACAGACAAATAGTGGATAGATGGAAGACGGATCGTAATATGGGTTGGCTTAGAGAAGATGAAAATCTTTTTAAACAAGTAAGGGATCAAAGACCAACTCATATTAAGAGGGTTTATGGGGTTTTAGTTGAAATGGATTCAGAATCTGAATTAATCAAAGATTGTATGATTAAATGGGCACAAAATATTGGTGAACCAATCCCATTGGATACCTGGGAACTTATCTGGGTGAGGAATGTTAAATTTACACAAGCGCAGAATTTAAGAGAGAATTTTTACAAAATGTTTTATAGATGGCACCTTGATCCACAAAAAATGTCTATTATGTACCCTGATCTACAGCCTAAATGTTGGAGATGTGGTTGTTTGGATGCTACTTATTATCATATTTGGTGGTCATGTAAAAATATAAAAGCTTTTTGGATTAAGATATGGTGGAATATCCAAAGAATCTTTAGAAGGAGGGTTAAATTTATCCCACAATTATTTTTATTAGGTATTGTTACTGATTGTGATGCTAAGGAAGTTATATTGATGTTAAATTTGATTACAGCCGCAAGGCTGTTAATAGGACAATATTGGAAGAAGGAATCTTTGCCTACTTTACAAAAGTGGTTCTATAAAGTTTCTTACTTGGCGGAAATGGCAAAGATTTCGGCTTTCTTAAAGGAGCAATCTCAAGAGAAATTTTTTCTTATATGGGAAAAATGGATAAATTTTATACAATATAATTTGGATATGGAAAAATATCATTTAGCTTTTTTATAGTTCGTATAGATTGTTTTCTCTTTTCTTTTTCCGTCTTTTGTTTTCTTTTTTCTTTTTCTTTTTTTTCTCTTATTTTTTTCTCTTTCTTTCTTTTTCTTTTTCTTTCTCTCTCTCTTTCCTTTCTTTTTTATTTCTTTTTAAAGTACTTTTTTAATGTTTATGTTATGTATATCTTATTATTAATTATCTTATAAGTTGTAAAAGGTTTTTTAAAATTTTAAATAAGCCTATATTCAGTTCTGGGAAGTTTGGGGAGGGGGGAGGGGGGGCGGGTTTGGGAGGGATTGGGTGAGGGTTGATTTGTAAAACTTTTAAAAATTTTTCAATAAAAAAAAAAAAAGACGATCCCACATTCCTCTTGGGCTTGGTGTGATGGTGGGCACCACCACGAGAAAGGCGGGGCCTTCTTCCCCACTGGGCATTTCCAAGCAGAGGCTGGCCAGTGGTCCCTGGGGGGGGGCTCTCCTTTCTCCTCCTGCCCTGAGCAGAGTTGCCCCCCCCCAAAGGACCCCCTTCCAAAAGTCTGGGCCAGCGGAGTGGAGGCTGCAGGACGGAGGACGGGAAGGCACACTGGGTGTCATTCCCACAACAGCTGGGAATGAAAGAGCAGGTCTGGACTGGCTCTGCCAGGCTCTTGCCTCAATCATATATAATATAGTTATATATTATTATATAATTATAATATCGTGGTTAAGGCTCCAGGCTAGAAAGTGGGAGATTCTGAGTTCAAGTTCTGCTTTAGGCATGAAAGTCAGTTGGGCTCTTGGCCAGTCCCTGTCTCTCTCAGCCCAGCTCACCTCACAGGGTTGTTGTGGGGTAAAGAGGAGGAGGACGGAGGGTTAGGTATGGTCTCTGCTTTGAGTTATTTGTACAAATAATAAAGGGAGGGTACAAAGATGGATGGAGGGAGGGAATGGATAGATAGATAGACAGGGAGAGATAGATGGATGGATAGATAGATAGATAGATAGATAGATAGATAGATAGATAGATAGATAGATAGATAGATAGATAGATATTATCTGAGGGAGAGAGAGAGAGGGTAGATAGAGGAGGAGATAGAATGGATAAATACATATAGACAGGTGATGGTAGGTAGGTAGGTAGGTAGAGAGAGATGGAATAGAGACAGATAGATAGATAGATAGATAGATAGATAGATAGATAGATAGATAGATAGATAGATAGATAGATAGATAGATAGATGACAGATATTATCTGAGGGAGGGAGGGAGGGGTTAGATAAAAGTTGATGATTTTGGAACCAGAAATCCTTGGCAACTGACTCGTATTTATGACGGTCGCAGCATCCCGGGGGGGAGGGGGGTCACGTGATCCCCTTTGTGAAACCTCCTGACCAGGAAAGCCAACGGGGGAGCCCGATTCACTTAACAACCAGCTCACTAACTTAGCAACTGCAGTGATTCACTTAACAACCGTGGCAAGAAAGGTCGTTAAATGGGGCAAAATGTACTTAACAAATCTTTTCGCTTAGCAACATGAATGTTGGGCTGGGTTGTGGTAATAATAACCTGAGGACTGGCTGCATTGTATGTGATTTATTTATTAGATTTATATGCCGCCCGTCTCAGTCGGGGAAATCGCTCTGGCTCTTTCTGCTGGGTGGGAGATGAGCTGGTTGCTGAGGGGGAGGCCTGCGGGGGGGGAGGAGTCCCCTTGCTTGCCCAGGGGAGGGTCTCCAGGGAGGGGGGCTGGGGCCATGCTTGGCCCTCCGTGGGACCACGGCATGAGGACAGCTGGACACCCTCCTGCAACACCCCCCTTCAGGAGGGGCTCACCCATGGCAGGAGCCTCAGATCCAGGGCAGACTCGTGCCTGGAGGGGAGGGGTAGGTGGCTAGATCGCTTGGTGGCCCTCCATCCACATGCAGAGCACGCCTGGGTGCTGGTCTGTCTCTCAGAGGGCTAGCTTGAGAGCTGTGAAGGGCGGGTGGGCTGGCCTTTTCCGTGCCTGAGGAGGCAAAGGGGGTCTTTTCCACCCAAGGCTCTGCAGTGCCTGACTCGCACCCCGCCCCCCCCCATATCAGCAGGGGGGAGGAGCGGCCACGGGGCTGAAGGGGGCAGCAGCGCCTCACGCTCGGTCAGGGAGGCTGTGTGGCTGGGGGGGGGGATTGAGCCAGAGGGTGGGGGCTAGTTGTGTGTCTGTGTGAAGGACCCAGGGGTATGTGTGAGTCTGCTGCAGTAAGTGTGAACCTCGCACTCTTGTGTGAACGTCTATGTGTGAAAAGGAGTCTCTCCCCCCCCCCCAGGCTCTGGACTTTTCTGGGTCTCCAGGATTTGGGGGGGGGGGGCAAGGCAAGGAAGGGGCTGCAAGAGTGCGAATGTGGAGGGTCTCTGGCAGACCTCCGGGAAGCCTGTGCTGCAGTGGGGAGGGGGCGGGACTTTAAGCAGGTGGGGTCGCTCCCTCCCCCTCCCGAAATCCCCCCGCCCCGTTTCTTCCATTGAGGACCACAAGCACAGCCCTCTTTCCCCCCCCACCGGCCCCCCCTCCTCTCCGGGCGGTTCCTTAGCAACGGGGAGGACCGGAGCCGGCGAGAAAGTCCCCTCCCAGGGAACTTCAGCCCCCCCCCCATCCTTTGCCCCCTCCCAACCGGGGAGCCGCTGTGACGGACCGCGCTCCGCCTGCCTCCCGCGCCGGCCGAGGCGGGTCCGGGACGGGCGGGCGCGCCGTCGCCGGATCAGTCCGCGCGCGGCATCCCCCCCCCCGCAGGGGACCGGGCGGGGGGCGGGGGGGTGGGACCGGCCCCGCCAACCGGGAGGAGGAGGAGGGCGCCCTCCCCCCCCCCGGTGCAAGGAGGCAGGGGCTGGGCGGAGGAGGAGCCCCGCCCGCCCCCCCCCGCGGCCATGCTGCCCCCCCGCTCCCCCCAGCCTCATTCTGCTCTGCTCTCTCCTGCCCAGCGACTACATCGTCGAGGAGAAGGCGGCCGTCCTGCAGAAACGGGAGCATGAGGGCTTCGGCTTCGTCCTGCGCGGGGCCAAAGGTAAGGGGGGGGCAGCAGGGGGCCAAAGGTAAGGGGGGGGGCGTCTGGCACCGGGAAGGCACGAGGCGTGCGCGGACGAGGGGGGGGGCGGTTGCTGCCTGGAAGGCGAGGGGGGTGAGGGGTGTGTGTGTGTGTGCAGCACACGAGGAACCCCCCAATCCGGTGGGCACGGGGCTCCTCTCGGGAGCTGTCCCTGCGTCCCATTAGGGACCAGCCTCATGGCTTTGGGTGCCCCCACGGTAGGCCTGCTGCAGAAAGAAGGGGGGCTTCCTTTCTGGAGACCCCCATGCAGCTCCTTCTGCCACCAGCCCCCACTGACCCAATTTGACAGCCCCCCTCATAGCTGTACGCCTGGCTCAGAGTCCCCCCCTCCACTGGCACCCAGAGGAGAAAGCTGGCCTGATGGGGTGCAAGGGAGGGTCTCGTGGGGGGAGGGAGGGGCTGAGGGGAAGGGGCAGGGGGGTTACACCTGCTGCTGAGATGGGCGGAAGAAAATGCAGGTGGGCAAAGGTTTGCCCTCTCCACTGTGAGGGGGTCCACGGCTCCGCAGAGCAGCAGGAGAAGGAGGGAGGGAGGGTCCCCAAGGGAGGGTCTCGTTCTCCCCACCCCTCCCTTTATCTGCATCAGCCTCCCTTTCATCAGCCTCCCCTTCCCCAACTGACCTGGGTGGAGCTCAGCGGAGCCCCTGGTGGGTCTCTCCCGCTGGTGCCCTCTCCTCCCGCCCACCCCGCTCAGGGCAGGTGAAGCCCTCGGCACCTGATCCGCAGGGCCAGCCCAGAGGGGGTCTCCCTGCTGATGGCAGGGCATGGCTCCTTCTTCCTCCTCCTCCTCATTGGGGGAGCAGCAGGGGGGGGACAAAGACCCCCGCCAGCTTCTCCTCTCCCCCATCTGCCTGCCCTTCCCTGCTAATCCCTGGTGCAGCTCGTGTGATGCTGCAGCCCCCTTTGTCCCCACAAACACAGAACGCAACAGAAAGCACAGGGATTCACTGGAAGGGGACGGGGCTGGGCTGATCCCCGAAGCCCTGGGCAGCTGATGGGGGCGGGGCGTCTGCACCTGGGCTCTGAGAAGGACCCCGTCTGGGTAGGGAGGGGGCTTTGGGAAGACCCCAAGCAGCCAGGCTGCCTTGTGCTGGCCAGGAGGAGCTTGGGAGGAGCAGGCTGGCTTCCGTAGGGGCTGCCTGCCTTCTCGCCCTCCGAGACCAGTTCAGGGAAGGGCCGTGGAGGTGGCTGGTGGGCCAGGAACATAGCCCTGTGGAGGGGGGGCTGGGGGGCTGGTCCTAGGGATGCAGAAGAGGAGAGGTCCCCTCCCGAAGGCCACCTCCTGCTCGTGGGCAGCCCCCAGGGCAGTGGGACACGGAGCCCAGTGAGAGGAAGGCAGGTCCAGAGCAATGCAGGGAATGGCCTTAACAGGAAGAGCACCCAGAAGACCTACGGGAGCTGATCCAGTGGATCCCTGTGCTGGTGCTTACCCTGAATGGCCCCTAGGGAGGGCCCCGCCTCCCTTGCCCCCTCGACAGGACACCCCAGTTGGTCCCGGCAACGTTTCTTGCACCCGTCTCCTCAGGCTTCCTGGTTGCCTCCTTCCTCAGCTCCCAGGCCAGCGCGGGAGACAGACTGAGGTTCTTCTGAGGTGAACCAGGGTTGCAATAGCATTTCCTCCCCCCCCCCCTTTTATTCCGACTCTCCCTAAAAGCAGCCAGTCACAGCCTTGGGGACCCCAGGCATTGGGAACAGGGCTAAGAAAGGCAGGAGCAGGGTCAGCAGTCCGGGTGGCCCATCTCACGGGAGATTTGGAGCCCTCTGCTGAGGTCAGCGTTGGGGAGGGGGTCTCTGATCCTGATCCTGCGGAGGAGGGCGAGCCTGGAGTAGGCTGGGCCCCCTCCAGGGTGCTTGGCTTCCACCGAGGCAAGGGGTGGGGATGGTTCTGCATCCGGTTGACGTGCCAGGATTCAGACGTAAGGGGCCCAGCCCAGCCCCGTCTCCTCTTCCGGTGAATCCCTGTGGTCTGGGTTCCAGAAGCAGAGAGGGAGAGCGGGGACCCCCACTCTGCTCTTTCGAACCAGGGAAGGAGAGGGGAGAAAAAGAAGCCGTTGACCTGAATGTGCAATTTAATTCCCCCATGCAACAAAGCCTTGACCCTTTCAGAGAGCTGAATCAGGGCAAATACTATACATGATTCAAGAGGAGGCGGGTCTGTTCATGACAGGCAGGGAGGGGGCCAATCTGGGCAAGAGCATCTGGCGTTGAAATGCTCCTTGTTCAAAAGCAGGGTCCCTCCTGCACCCACCGCTCTCGCTCGGGGAGGGAAGTCCTGCACGATGGGTTTCCCCACCCAGGAATCCTGGAAGGAATCCCGTTCCAGAGACCTGCCCTGAAGCTGCTCCAAGCCTGGTTTGGACCCTCTCGGTGGCCTTCAGCAGACGCTCTTGACCGGAACCATCTCCTTGCTCTACTGCAGGCTCTCCAACCTTGACCGCTTTAAGACGTGTGGACTGTAACTCCCAGAATTCCCCAGACGGCTTTGGGAATGGGTCCACAAGTCTTAAAGTGGTCAGGTTGGGAGACCCCTGCTCTGCTGGACAGGGTCACCCTTCCTTCCCTCCCTCAAGGTGGCCAGGATAACGAGCCAACTGTGTCCAAGATTTCAGAAGCACGTGAACCATAAGGGGACTTCTTCCTTGGTTGTCCCATCTGGGTGGGGTCCCCCTGGGCGCCCCCTGGGCCTCTGCCCTGAGGTCACCAGACCCAACACCCTGCCAGACTGGCTAATCTTGGGTTTCCCCAGCTTTGACTACACTTGCTTCAGTGGATTCATAATTGCTCCTGGTCTCAAGTCTGCCAGCCTCATGGTTCCTAGTTTCCTCGTGGTCTTTGCTAGCCTCACACCCCTTCCCCTTAATGCTGGTTCTTCCTTCCCTGCTGCTCCTTTATCAGCTTCCTTCACATAATGAAAGGGCTTATTATTTATTCTGCTGCTGGGTCTCTCCCAGCAACATAGAAACAGGAGCAATTGAGGACAGTAAAATAATAAAATGTAGGATAATCAAAAATCATGCGTGTCAGAGGGAAACAGCCAAACCCCCCCCCTTGACCTCTGCCCATGAGAAGGCCAAGCGGGGGTGTCCTCCCCACCCACCCACCCATGCTCTCTCTTCCCAGGTGTGGCTTTCAGGGAGCCCAAAAGGATGCTCAGCAGTATAACAAGCTTAATAAAATATTAAATACGGTATTTGCCATTAAAGACGCTGAGCTTGTCAGCTGGAAAGCTGACAGCCCAGTTCGAGGCCCGAGTTCTGCATGATGGGGTGAGCTCCCGTTCCTTGCCCCAGCTTCTGCCCACCTAGTAGTCCGAAAGCTTGCAAATGCGAGTAGATCAATAGGCACCACTGCAGTGAGAAGGTAACAAGTGTTTTGTGTGCCTTTGGCGTGTAGCCGTGCTGGTCACCTGACTGTGGAAAATGTCTTCGGGCCAAGACACAGATGACCACCATGCCCTAGAGGCGGACACAACCGGACAGGGAACCCTTTACCTCACAGTCCTCTTGGTCATCCCAGGAATTTTCATGGAATCCTAGGGCTGGAGGTGGTCTTGGAGGTTTTGTAGCACCACCCGTTGCCCGAGGCAGCAGACCTTGTACCATCCTGGACAAAGGATTGTCCAATCTTTTCTTGAACACCTCCAGCGATGGAGCACCCACAAGTCCAGGAGGCAGGCTGGTCCACTGACTTGAGTTTTCTCACTGTCAAGAAATTTCTCCCTAGTTCCAGGTTGCTTCTCTCCATGCTTATTTTCCATACGTTGCTTCTGGTCCTGCCTTCAGGGACTGGAGAATAGGTTGACCCCTCTCTTCTCTGGGGCAGCCCCTCAAGTCCTGGAACTGAACATACTAACTGAAGTACTAGAGGGCTGCTATCATGTCACACACACACTCACACTCACATACACACTCACATTAGTCTTCCTTAGGCTAGACGTCCCTCATTCCCTTAGTACAGGGGTCCTCAAATTTGGCCACTTTAAGACTTGTGGACTTCAACTCCCAGAATTCCCCAGCCAGCCATGCTGAAGTTGAAGTCCACAAGTCTTAAAGTGGCCAAGTTTGAGGACCCCTGCCTTAGTAGCTCATCAGATGGTGTGGCCTCCAGACACCTTATTTTCGTTGCTCTTCTCGGCATTCTTTCTCTTTTTTGCTTTCCTCCTTTCTTGACCTCGTTGTTGAGGTGGGAAGAACCCCAACCCTCCCTCTTGGGGAACGTCCATCCTTGCGCTGGAAAGCAAAGGAAGCCTTTGTGAACTCTGGCAACCGCTTTGAGTTCTGCCTGGACCGGACAGGGCGATCAAGCTCCAGAAACGCAAAAGGATCCTTCACGCCACCCAGTCCAGAGTTACGCACCTGAACTTTAGGATCTTATTTTATTTATTTAAAAAAATGATCTGGCTGCTCATCTCATAACCAACTCCAGGCTGCTGCTCTCAGCCAGATAGGAAAGACTCCAGGAAACACACAACACATAGAAATCTCCACTAATCTGCAAACGTTTTATGAATTACAGTTGCTTAAGCATGGAAGGTGTGCGCCTGCATGGGTGCACCCACTCCCTTGCCCGTGTGCTGCACAGGACGGGGGGAGTTGGGAGCACTCAGGAGATGACAGTTGCCCACTCATGAATGGTGTATCTCCAAAGCGGCCATCTTTCTTCTCCTGGACCAGCCAGGCTCCATCAGACCTCCACCCTCTCTCACCTCCACCCTCTCTCACCTTTCATTGACCTGACAGGGTTGTGGGGTCAAATGTGACTTGCTACACTGGCAGATAATGCTCTCATCTCTTCAGTTTGGTTGTTCCCCAGTACAGCCAACCATTCATCTATAGCAGGGGTCTTCAAACTTGGCCCTTTTATGACTTGTGGACTTCAACTCCCAGAATTCCTCAGCCAGGCAGTGCCTGGCTGCGGAATTCTGGGAGTTGAAGTCCACAAGTCATAAAAGGGTCAAGTTTGAAGACCCCTGATCTATAGGGTCAGAGTTTGGGCATCTTCTACGTCAGGGGTGTCCAACCTCGGCAACTTAAAGACTTGTGGACTTCAATTCCCAGAATTTCCCAGCCAGCCAGGGAATTCTGGGAGTTGAAGTCCACAAGTCTTAAAAGTGGCCCAGGTTGGACACTCCTGCTCTAAAAATGTTGAAGAGCCCCAGGACCAGGACAGAACCACCTCCTGCCTCCCTCCATACAGATCCACGAAGGACCCCCGTTGAGCCCCGATGTCCAGCCGTCTGCCCAGCCTCTTTGTAGCGGGACCATCCACCCCACGGCCCCGCTTCTCAAGAAGGAAGCTAGATTTGTCCGGCTTGACCTATTTTTAAACAAACCCATGTTGGCTTAATGACCCGGTATCTTTCTAAGGACTGCCAAGCCCACTTGAGTATCATTTTAAAGCTCTTTTAGGTGTTCCTTCCCAGATTCACCTTTTCCACGTTTTTAAAGATTGGATCCATCTGAACGCTTGTCCGGCCTTCTTGTCTTTCCCTCGTGTTCCCCGAGATTGCAATTGGTGGTTGTGAGGATTGTATCAGCATCCTGGGATGTGATCCATCTGGCCCTGGTGGGCTGGACCCAGTCCAAGCTGCTAGGCCTTCCTTCTCCTGACTGGCCTGTCTCCCCTTCCCCACAGAGTGCGCCTTCTGACGGGTTGGACCACTTTTGCAAAAAGGCAGGTGCAGAATAGGAATTAAGCCATCGGTCTTCTCCCTGTTGCCCATCAACATCTTGCCATCTTCTCCAGCCAGGGGACTTGACTCTTCTCTTCTTCCCCAACAAACTCATCTTGGCATTTGTGGAAGACTTAACTCATTCCCAGCCTTGGTCTTCCTAAGCCCATCCTTCCAGCCGTGGCACGTTCCCTGATATTCTCCTTTCATTATTATTATGTGCCCCTCTTTCCATTTTGTTTTTTAAAAAAACTTGTTCTTTCTGTTTCTCAGTATATTAGAGAATTCTTGGTACGGCTCCACCAGTCTCTTAAGCTATTTTTCTTTCTCTTTGGTCTGTTGATTTTTAAGCTTTCATTAGCTCATTATCCAACATTTCCCAGTAATTCTCCTGAACTGGTTTCCATCCATGGCAATGGTTCTCAACCTGTGGGTCGGGACCCCATTTGGGGTCGAACGACCATTTCACGGGGGTCGCCAAACAACGCAGTCCGCCATTTTTTCCCCCTTTTCCTTAGCTGTGCTACTCCCTTTTATTCTATTGGCTTTTGAAAGCCATAGAATAGACTCTCTTGAATAGAGTCTAATTCTATTGGCTTTCAAAAGCCAATAGGAATTGTCCAGGCTGTCTCTGCCCTGCTGAGCCCGCCAAAAGTCCCATTCTGCAAACGGTGCTGCACCAGTTGAGTAGTCCTCGACTTACGACCGGTTGAGTAGTCCTCGACTTACGACCGGTTGGGGGTCACGGCATTAAAAAGGTTGAGAACCACTGATCCATGGAGTCGTTCCTCGTGGCGACTGATCAGAAAGAACAGTCGCCCCAACTTTATGGATGAATGGATGCACATACCAGCTTCCAAATTTCCAGAATTCTGCTTTTCCTTGCCATAAATCTAAGAAGACTCTGTGGGAGTCAAGCTTTCTCGTTGAATAGGGATTTGACAAAAGCCTTTGTTAACTGACATTTTGATTCAGTTCTTCCCTGACATGGTAAGTTCTAGTGTTTTTTTGCCTCAAGGAGGTTAACTTAATGATTCTGGCGTTACTAGGGGAAAATGTAAGGGGTTTGTTTTTTTGTGGGGGGAGAGTTTTTCTAAGTCCCACCCATTAACAGGCAAACCATTCACGGTATGTCCCAAAGGTGCTTTTCCAAAAGGGAGCTGGACTTTCTTGGTTTTTTCCTTCAAAATGTTTCACTTCTCATCCAAGAAGCTTCTTCAGTTCTAACTGTTCTAAATAACTTCAGTTAGAAGTGAAGAAGCTTCCTGAGTGGGAAGCGAAACGTTTTCAAGGAAAAAAACCAAGAAAGTTCAGTTGCCTAACCTTAACCCTTCACTGTTGTTCGTGTAGACCAGTGTTTCCCAAACTTGACAATTTTAAGGCATGTGGACTTCAACTCCCAGAATTCCACAGCCAGCAATGCTGGCTGTGGAATTCTGGGAGTTGAAGTCCACATGCCTTAAAATTGTCAAGTTTGGGAAACACTGGTGTAGACCAGGGGGTAGGCAACCTTGGCTCTTTGATGACTCGTGGACTTCAACTCCCAGAATTCCTCCGCCAGCCACACTGAGGGGAAAGGGAGAGGTTTCCAAGCTGAGCCAGGCTGACCCAGGAATTCTGGGAGTTGAAGTCCATGAGTCCTGAGGGGGCCATAGTTCCCCCATGCTGGCTCAGGAATTCTGGGAGTTGAAGTTCACGAGTCATAAAAGAGCCAAGGTTGCCTACCTCTACACTAGACCAGGGGGTAGGCAACCTTGGCTCTTTGATGACTCGTGGACTTCAACTCCCAGAATTCCTGAGCCAGTCACGCTGAGGGGAAAGGGAGAGGTTTCCAAGCTGAGCCAGGCTGGCTGAGGAGTTCTGGGAGTTGAAGTCCACGAGTCATAAAAGAGCCGAGGTTGCCTACCCCTGGCCTAGACGACAGAATCTTGCCGGAGCAAAGCAAACGTCTCCAATAACTATAGATTTACTCTGTAAGCTGCTAGGGAGGGTCCGACTTGCTCCCTTCCTGCCCACCAGGCCTCCCAAGCTCCGCTTTCTCTTGTGCCCTGGGACGGACTCCCCCCTCCTGCAGCTCTGGACTCGGTTCCCCCCCCCATCTCTGGCGTTCTAGGCTGCAGGTCCAAGGCAGTGTGCAGTGAGGTCAATGGTTCTGGAATGTCTTCGCGGCCGGCCAGGAGCCTCTCTCTCCAGGCCAGCCATGCCGAGAGGCTGACCTGGGATTTCTTTCCTTCGTCCTCCTTTCAGCGGAAACCCCAATTGAGGAGTTCACCCCAACGCCAGCTTTCCCGGCGCTGCAGTACCTGGAATCGGTGGATGTGGAGGGGGTGGCGTGGCGAGCAGGACTGCGCACAGGAGACTTCCTGATTGAGGTGAGGCCGGGCAGGGCCAGGGGAGGCCGGGCAAGGCTTCTCCTCCACACTCAGCACTGGAGAGGGAGGGGCAGGTGGAGGGTCACCTTGTGCAGGGAGCAGAACTCCCCCCCCCTCAAAGACCGTCTCTCCACAGCTGGGAACTCTGCATTTTGCTGAGTTAGGCATCCGGTGAGGGCGAAGAGGAAAAGGTCTAGCAGGGTAAATGGGGTCTCACCCTTCAGGCTCTTCCCCTTTGTCGGTGCCTTCTTTCTGGGTTGCTTAGGGCATCTTTTCAAACAGTGTTTCTCGACAATTTTAAGGCATGTGGACTTCAACTCCCAGAATTCCACAGCCAGCAATAGAGCCGAGGTGGCGCAGCAGTTAGAGTGCAGTACTGCAGGCCACTTTAGCTGACTGTGTTCAGCAGGTCAGCGGTTCAAATCTCACCGGCTCAAGGTTGACTCAGCCTTCCATCCTTCCGGGGTAGGTAAAATGAGGACCCAGATTGTTGGGGGCAATGTCAATATATATATACATTGCTTACTGGTGTACACCACTTAGAGAGTGCTTGCACTTGTTGTTGTTGTTAATTGCGAAGTCGTGTCCGACCCGTCGCGACCCCATGGACAACGTTCCTCCAGGTCTTCCTGTCCTCTACCATCTTCTGGAGTCCATTTAAATTCACACCTACTGCTTCAGTGACTCCATCCAACCATCTCATTCTCTGTCGTCCCCTTCTTCTATTGCCCTCAATCTTTCCCAGCATTAGGCTCTTCTCCAGTGAATCCTTCTTTCTCATTAGGTGGCCAAAGTACTTGAGTTTCAACTTCAGGATCTGGCCTTCTAAAGAGCAGTCAGGGTTGATCTCTTCTAGGACTGACCGGTTTGAACGCCTTGCAGTCCCAGGGACTCGCAGGAGTCTTCTCCAGCACCATAGTTCAAAGGCCTCCATTCTTTTGTGCTCAGCCTTTCTTATGGTCCAACTTTCACAGCCATACATTGCAACTGGGAAAACCATGGCCTGGACTATACGCACTTTTGTTGGCAGGGTGATGTCTCTGCTTGCACTTAAAGCGGTATATAAGTCTCATAAATAAATAAATAAATTCTGGGAGTTGAAGTCCACATGCCTTAAAATTGTCAAGGTTGAGAAACACTGTTTTAAAATGTGGCCTCTGTGGCTGGCCACGGGCCTCTCAGCACCCTGGATAGTGAACACAGGCTGGGCAGGGGCACCTGCTGGGCCTGGAAAGTCCTCCGCTGTGACCCTCCTCCATCCTTTCGCTGGCCTGGCATCCCCTGCAGTTGTCCCTGGTGGCACCCCAAGCGTTTGCTTCCTCTGGGGTGTGTTGGGGTGGCCCCGTGCGAAAGAACGGGGGGGTTCTGCCCGGCTCAGCCACCTGGCTCTTGGCCTGTCTCACCGGGTGCCTGGCAGAGCCCCAGGCGGAGGGCCCTGGCGTTTCTGGCGCATCCCTTCCTCTTCCACAAGGCACCGTAAGAAGCACTGCTGATAGAGGGCGTCGCGCAAATAGTCCTCGACTTAACAGCAATTCATTTAGTGACCACTCAAAGTTACGACAGCACTGAAAAAGTGACTTGTGACCGTTGTTCACACTTATGACTGTTGCAGCCTCCCCGTGGTCACGTGATCAAAATTCAGACGCTTGGCAACTGACTCCTACTTACGGCGGTCAGAGTGTCCAGGGGTCCCGTGATCCCTTTGTGCAGCCTTCTGACTGGCAAATTGAACGGGGGAAGCCGGATTCACTTCACAGCCGTGTTACTAACCATCGTAGTGATTCACTTAAGAATTGTGGCCAGGAAGGTCACAAAAGGGGGCAAAACTCACTTAACAAACGTCTCACGTAGCCACAGAATTTTTGGGCTCAGTTGTGGTTGTTAAATCAAGGACTCCCTGTAACAAAATCTTGAAAGCCGTTTTTTTCCCTTCCGTCCTTCTGATACCAAAGAAGACCAATCTTGAGTTTCTTTCTCGCCCTTTCCTGCTTTCCCGGGTTACGTTTCTGCTCCCCCAGAGGCTGCCACGGATTTTCCTCAAGGCCATCTCCACACCCTCCTGTGGGGGAATAAAGGGAGTCGAACTCATGAGTAGAACGAGCAGGAAAGCAGATGTGGGCTCGGTGGGAGGAGGAGGAGGAGCATTTGTCAATGGAAACGGCAGCCTGGAGAGGGCCTGGTCTCCTCTGCCCTGGAGGCCCTTATAGAATGACCATTATATCCATCTATAAAGTACTGCTGGACGTAAAGAGAACGGCAACAGGGCTTCATGATAGCACAATGGCCACATGACCATGGACGCGTCTTTGGACAACGTGGGCTCGGTGGCCTTGCCGTGGAGATGAGCAGCGCCCCCTAGAGTCGGCAGTGGCAAGTGGAGTAAAATCCACAGGGACCCCTTGACCCGGATGTAAAGAGGAGGAACTGATGGGGGCCTGGTCGACAGCTTGGTTCAGAACTGTGCAGATTATCGAGGCCAATGACAAATATTTGGAGCTGTCCGGACATCCCAGCCTGGGACTCCTGGGCACTCCATTCCTGGAGATTGGAGAAGAGGCTGGACAATCACTTGTCTGAAATGGTGGACTAGAAGACCTCCAAGGTCCCTTCCAGCTCTATTCTATTCCATTCCATTCTTTATTTCTATTCTGTTCTGTTCTGTTCCGTTCCATTCTTTCATTCTGTATTCCATTCCATTCCATTATCTATTCTATTCTATTCTATTCTATTCTATTCCATTATTTATTTCTATTCTATTCCGTTCCATTCTATTCTATTCTATTCCATTATTTATTTCTATTCTATTCCATTCCATTCTTTCATTCTGTATTCCATTCCATTATTTATTCTATTCTGTTCTGTTCTGTTCTGTTCTGTTCCATTCTTTTATTCTGTATTCCATTCCATTCTCTATTCTATTCTATTCCGTTCCGTTACATTCTTTCATTCTGTATTCCATTCCATTCCATTCTCTATTCTGTTCTGTTCTATTCTATTCTATTCTATTCTATTCTATTCCATTCTATTCTACTCCATTCCATTCCATTCTTTCATTCTGTATTCCATTCCATTCCATTATCTATTCTATTCTAATTTCTATTCTAATTTTTATTCTATTCTATCCTATTCTATCCCCTATTTTCTATTCTATTATATTCCATTCCATTCTATTCTATTCCATTCCATTCCATTCCATTCCATTCTATTCTATTCTATTCTATTCTATTCCATTATTTATTTCTATTCTATTCCATTCCATTCTTTCATTCTGTATTCCATTCCATTCCATTATTTATTCTATTCTGTTCTGTTCTGTTCTGTTCCATTCTGTTCCATTCTTTTATTCTGTATTCCATTCCATTCCATTATCTATTCTGTTCTATTCTATTCCGTTCCGTTACATTCTTTCATTCTGTATTCCATTCCATTCCATTCTCTATTCTGTTCTGTTCTATTCTATTCCATTCTATTCTACTCCATTCCATTCCATTCTTTCATTCTGTATTCCATTCCATTCCATTATCTATTCTATTCTATTCTATTCTATTCTAATTTCTATTCTAATTTTTATTCTATTCTATCCTATTCTATCCCCTATTTTCTATTCTATTCTATTTTCCATTCCATTCTATTCTATTCTTGGCCTTAGCCAGCTGGGGTGGTTCCCATGGGCCCCCTGGAGCCCTCTGTCCTGATACAGGAGCCCTCCCTCTCTTTCCCAGATCCCTCTGGGCTCCTGGCCGTGGACGCTGCTTCTTAAGGCCAACTTGATATTTATGGAGATGGAGCTCGGTGTGCGTGCCACTGGAGTGGCTGCATTTTGTCATGCTGGGGTGTTGTCAGGCACACCAGCAACCAGATCCACATGTTCAAGCTAACTTTATTATATTCTGCCTGTTATAAAGGAATCTGCTTGCCTTCCCCTGGGAACAGATAGATCAGGATCCAGGGAGCTTGTGTATGTGTATGTTTTCTGGATCTCTTGCATCTATGCAAGGATTCAAGGCTAATTCCCCGCTTGAGACCTCCTCCCTACCTGGCTGTGTGCTTCCCAACATCTTTTGAAAGAAGCGTAAGCATCTTTGCTGGAAGTCACGCCAAGTACGGAACAGTCCCAAAGCAATTCTTGGACCTGTGGCTGTTTCCTTCTCCACAAAGCAAGCTGTGACTCAACACGCTATCTGGTTCTGCCAAACTTGTCTGTTACGAGATGACTTACAGACAGTGGACATCAAATGAGAAGATGCTGAAGGCCCCACCGTGGACAGGATTCATTGGAAGAAGCTTGCTGCCCTGTGTGCTTCGTGCAATGATGATGATCCTGGTGTCCCAAAAGTGCTTTTCCAGGAAGCAACTGGACTTCCTTGTTTTTCTTGGAAGACCTTCCACTTCTCATTCAAGGAGCTTCTTCAGCTCTGACTGGACGGTGGGAAATGGAAGGGTTCATACTCCTTGCAGCCCTCTCTCAACAGACAGCATCTGTCTCCTGTCTACAACACAGTCCTGTCAGCAGTCCCAAGAAGGCTCCACACCCGTTTGCACCACTCAGGTGGCCCTGAGACAAACCTCCAGGTAGCCTCAAGGACTCTCCAAAAGAATGCAGAGGACCAACTGCCTGCAAGGAGTATAAATCCTTCCTTTCTCCATTGTTCATTCAGAGCTGAAGAAGCTTCTTGGATGAGAAAGAAAAACAACATCTGAACAAAAGCTCCTTTGGGACAGCCCTGATCTGGAGGACGAAGAATCTCCATAGATGATGATGATGATGATGGTATCTGGTGCTTCCCACTTCATATCTAGAACTGGTTGCGCAGTCCTCACTACCTATTCAGCCACGACTGACTGGGGGATTCTGGGAGTTGAAGCCCTCCAGTCTTCAAGTGGCCAAGATTGGACTCCCCTGGTTGGTGTAAAACTATTGCAGTACAAAGCTCTCAGCAGGCTTGGAAGCAGGTTGAGGGTAACTCAGACAGCTGGAGGGCAAATTTGCTTGGATGTTGCCTGGATAACACTCACTGCCTGGCCGTAGTGAGATCTGGACCCAGGGCCATAGCAAGAGCACGTAGACTTCTATACCGCTCCACAATGTTTTCCAGCCCTCTCTGAGCAGTTTACAGAGTCAGCCTCTTGCCCCCCCCCCAACCATCTGGGTCCTCATTTTACCCACCTGGGAAGGCTGAGTCAACCATCAGCTGATCAAGTTCTTGGCAGAATTAGCCTGCGATACTGAATTCTAACTGCTGTGCCACCAGGGTTTTTCCTTCCTTCCTTCCTTCCTTCCTTCCTTCCTTCCTTCCTTCCTTCCTTCCTTCCTTCCTTCCTTCCTTCCTTCCTTCCTTCCTAGCTTTTCCCAGATGTGTGAATCCTCAGCCAGGGCCAGAGGATGGAGAAGGCCGGCCAAGACCTTTGGGAAGGGCGAGTTGGTCTTCTGAGTGGGGGAGAGGGCTACAGAGCCCAGCATCTCCTGGAGGGCTGCGTCCCACCAGCAGCCTTTTGCAAGGCAGCCCCCCTGGTGCTTGAAGGGTGGAGAGCCAGTGAGCCCATCATCCCCAGCAGATGTTGCGTTGGCCTAGGGTAGCTGAATTAAACCTCTTTCAGACCAGGCTTTTGGATAAAATGGCTTTTTCTTTTTTTTTTTCTTTTTCTTTTGGAAGCTGTTGCTGTTGCTGGATATATATATATTTTTTTCATTCCAATGCGCAAAACCAGTTATTTTTGCCACAGTGCCGAGGAGAAATGACACTCAGCGCATTAGCTAACCATGTCTATTTTGAACAAATGTTTCATTCCCTTGACTTAAGAAAAACTAAACGGAGGCATGTCATTAGGAGAAGCTGAGCCAAGGCAAGGGCCCCGGTTAGGAAAGGCTGCCCACCCCACCAGCCGGATTGAGGGGCAGGGGGGGCACCTTGTCATCAGCCCCCATTTGAAAGGAGCTGAAAGACTGCCAAGTGCTGCTGGGAAAAGGGGCACCCAGAGCTCAGTTCCGCGTGCCAAATAGTGCCCAGAAGCCTCATGGTGTTGAGACAAGCACCAAGATGGTTCCTTCATGACCTGGGGAACATCCACAGTGCGAGAAGGGAGGGGGGCTTGGGGAGAGGAGGAGGAGGAGAAAAAGGTCCTTGGTGCTCTCTGAGCTTGGTGGTTTTCTTGCAGACGTTTCTTGCTCGACACTGAGGATGTTCCCTAGTTGGGTCATGAAACGTCTGCAAGGAAACCACCCAGCCCAGAGAGCAACAGGGACCCCGCAGTTCAGCCCTGAGCTACAAGTATTCTCCTTTATGAGGTGCCAAAGTGCCAGAGCTGGACAGCAAATACATTTCATAAGAGATGCAAGCCTGCCTCCCTGCTGCCCGCTCCCTTCTTCGGCTGGGCCCCTTCCCAGCATCTCCCAAACTGGAGCCCCCGTCCCCTTCCTTCGGCCTTCCCTGCCCACTCCCAGGCTGAGCTGAAGGGCAAGAATGCCTGGCCTTGCCCCTCCGCCGAGATGGAGCCAGGACTCCCCCTTGCCTGCTACCTGCCCTCCCACCTCGCCCCTCCTTGCCCCTTTGCAGAGCTGGGCCAAGGAGAAGAGTGCAGAAGGCCAGGGGGCTGGAGTCTCCCAGCTCTGCTCTGAGCTCCGCTGAATTTTCACTTTCTGTTTTCCGTTCCCCAGGCTCTCTCCCCGCTTTCTCGTGGCCCAGGGACTGGCCAAAGAGGGAAGGCGGCTTGGCCTCCAGACGCCTTGGCTCACTTCCGTGAGGCATCTCCCTCTCTCAGCTCTTGGTTTTAGCTTCCGTTTGGGGCCACCACCTTAATCTGGAGGAGTGGAGAGGGTGGGCTGCCCTCTTCCTCCAAAGGGACAGTTCTTCATGCCAGGAGAGGATCTGGGTCCAAAACGGCGTTTTGGGTCGCGGGGCCCGGCTGATCCAGGTCCTCTTTCGCATGCATCTCGTCTGTTCAATAAATCATTGATTACTTCCTCCTCCTCCTCCCCCCCCCCAATTTCCCCTCTGCCTCAAATCATTGACTAATGTTCTTTGAAAGCAGAGTTCCTCCTGTGAATGAGGAGCCTGTGAGTTAGAACACTCACCTCCCACCTGGAGCCCTTTGCCCACCGGGCACTTGAAGTTCCTGCTCTGACGCCCTTCCTCCCACCACGGGCACCAATTCAGAGGAAGCTTTCAAAGGGGGTCCCGTGAATGACACGCCGGAAGGCCCCCTTCCCACCAGGGAACACCGGGGAGGGCCACATTTGTTCTGTCTTCAGGTTCCATGGATCGACCGCTCTGGGCTCCCCGAGGTCCATGCAGGAGAGCTGAGGGAAATGTATGCCTGTACCCAGGTCCCTGTGGCGGGGACTGAGGGGATGAGCTGGCAGGAAGAGTCGGAGGGTCGATACAGGAGAATATTTGTAGCTCAGGGCTGAACCCCCTCAGGGCTGAACCCCCTGACCTGGGGTCCCTGGTGCTCTCTGAGCTGGGTGCTTTCCTTGCAGACGTTTCATGACCCAACTAGGGAACATCATCAGTGCTGGAAGGGAGGGGGGATTGCGGAGTGGAGAAGGGAAAAGGGAGAAAGAGGAGAAGAAAGAAAGAGGAAGAGAACTGTCCTTGATGCTCTCCGAGCTGGGTGCTTTCCTTGCAGACGTTTCATGACCCAACTAGGGAACATCATCAGTGTTGGAAGGGAGGGGGGATTGCTCTCTTTTTACCAATCAATCAGCATAGAGCTGGAAGGCACCTTGAAGGTCTTCTAGTCCAACCCTCTGCTCAAGCAGGAGACCCTACACCGCTTCAGACAAGTGGCTGTCCAGTCTCTCCTTAAAAACCTCCAGGGATGGAGCGCCCACAACCCCAGTCAAGGAGCTGCACCTGGGACAAGCAGTAACCAACAGCCTATCGAGGCACCACAAAGAAGACTCTCCCCAACACGGACAGGGCTATGAAATGTAAATGGAGCCAAGCCCACTCCCTTGTCGCCCTGATGGTATTGCATAGTTGGGCCATGAAACGTCTCTAAAGTTTCTCCCGGAAATACCCATTTACGAGACGTATTGTGATTTTGGAGTGTGCACTGTGGTTTCCGTGGCTCTCTCGGTGGCAGAAAGTGGTTGGCAGCAGCTGGGGGGGGCGTCTCGCCCCCTGGGGGTGGTGCTGGCAGCAGGTGGTGCCACCCAAAGAGGCTGGAAGCTCTTCCCATCCCAACCAAGCCACCCACCCACCGGGTCGCTCGGAGTAAGCCACGAGAGTGGGTTGACAGCATCTCTTTATTCTTTTTCTTCCCTGTTGGGGCTTTTTTCCTCTTTTTGCACACCAGAAAAACTTAAGGAACTGAATACAAATACGTCATTATTTCAGCTCGGAGGAAACATAAATTGTTACCCCGTTGCTTGAATGGATAGAACGGTGATAGATAGATAGATAGATCCTGCCATTTCTTGGAATGTCGGTTTGAAGGTTATTTGGGTGATAGATAGATAGATAGATCCTGCCATTTCTTGGAATGTCGGTTTGAAGGTTATTTGGGCTATTTCAGTATTAAATATTCTCTGCTAAAATGGATCTTTATTGTTTCGATGGCTGGAAACAAAAACAGAGCAGACTGTATCTGTCTGAGCCGATTCCTAGCTGTAAGCCCAGTGGCGTTTGGTTGGCTCTCTCCCTGACAAGGCAGAGCCAAAGGGGGGGTCCTTGCCGGCTTGGGGGGATCCTGGAATACTCCGGGGCTCAGCATCTGCTGCCTGGAGACCCCTGAGCAGCCCCTCGTGGGTCCTGGGGGCAGCAGTGAGGAACTGAGACCCGGCGTTCCATGCTTAGGGACATGCGTGGCCAGGTGTTACCTACAAGGCATGGGAAGGATCGTGGGATCCCAGGAGACGGAGCCTGCCCCTCCTCTGCTCATCCTTCCTTCCTCTCCTTGCTGCACAGGTGAACGGCGTGAACGTGGTGAAGGTGGGGCACAAGCAGGTGGTCTCGCTCATCCGCCAGGGGGGGAACCACCTGCTGATGAAAGTGGTCTCGGTCAGCCGCAAGCCAGAGTCTGAAGACGTGGTTCGGAAGAAAGGTGAGTGCAGGGCAGACCCCACCCACTTCGGGTCGAGTCTCCCTCCAGGGTCTCGGCTGCCCTTGTGGGCTTGGAAGGGGGGGCTCCATTTCCTCCAGCTGTGGCTGCCTCCTTGGGGCCCGCCCTCTCCGGGACAGGCACCTTTTGCCCTGCCTGTCGTTTGCCCTCCGCCCTCCCCAGCGTCCCTTCTCTTGTCTTCTCCAGCCTGGTGCTCAGTTCTCCAGGCCTCCATGCGTGAAGCAGAACCCTGGAGAAATGCCACCCACTAAGAGCTGACCCTGGCCCCGTGGCCTAGCCCAAAGGTAGACTCGGAGGGCACGTTTGCTCTGGGGAGACGCTGGTGGGGTAGGAGCCGCGGCAACAGCACTTAGACTTACATACTGCCCCGTAGTGCTTTACAATATGCATTGTTTGCATATTGCCCCCAACAATCAGGGTCCTTCTTGGAAGGATGAGTTGACCTCGGGCCCCGTCAGAATCGCACTCCAGGCTGTGGGCAGAGTCTGCTTGCAATTCTGCATTTTAGCCACTGCGCCACCAGGTCAAGAGCGCGGGAACTTGCCACCCTGGCTGAGAGGTGCCCAATGCTCCCTTGGCCCACCTCCTCATGTTGTAATCTCAGGCAGAAGAGAGACAGCAAAGCCCCTCTGGCACTGATGATGTTCCCTAGTTGGGTCATGAAACATCTGCAGGGAAACTACCAAGCTCAGAGACCATCAAGGACCCCACAGATGTTTCTCCAGAGGCATCTAGTGACCAAGCCTGCTGTCCAATTTATGTCCTTTGGCCTTTTTCCTTATGAAGAAGATGCTTTCTGGAGCCCAGGAACTAAAAAGCGCCCTCACACCCCACGGCCTTCAGATTGGCAGCCCCAGAGACTGTGGGTCAATGAGATGCCAGGATCTAAAGAGTCTCTGGGAATCTGCATGAAGGGGGCCGGGGTGTCTTTCTGTGCTGAGCGGGAAGTGAAGTGAAGGAGCCCAAAGGAGAAGGAGGTGGTCCCTCAAATCCTGTGCCCTCTAACAAAGAGTAGGAGCCACTCCTTCCAATTCTCAGGTGCCTTTCAATTCTCAGGTGCCGCCAGCTTGGGGTGTCGTTCTGGGGCTTCCTCCATCTTCTCGATCATCCCTTGTTGTCCTAAGACAGTGTTTCCCAAACTTGACAATTTTAAGGCATGTGGACTTCAACTCCCAGAATTCCACAGCCACACTGCTCTAAGGCAGTGGTTCTCAACCTTTCTAATGCCGCGACCCCATAATACAGTTCCCCATGTTGTGGTGACCCCCAACCACTTATACATCACCGGGTGCCAGGGGCGTGGCCAAAGAAAAGGGGGAAATAATGGCGGACAGCCTTGTTTGGCGACCCCTGTGAAATGGTCGTTTGACCCCAAATGGGGTCCCGACTCACAGGTTGAGAACCACAAACCACCCAAGTTTTAACCAACCAGCCAGGATCAAACCCACACACCAGTGCACCAAGAAAGGGACTATTGTGCTCAAGTCCAAGCGTCCCCAGGATGTGGCACCCCTCGGGTAGATGGCAGGGTCCCTGCTTCTGGCTGCACAGTTCAGAAGTTATGGCAGTGTTTCCCAAACTTGACAATTTTAAGGCATGAGGACTTCAACTCCCAGAATTCCACAGCCAGCAACGCTGGCTATGGAATTCTGGGAGTTGAAGTCCACATGCCTTAAAATTGTCAAGTTTGGGAAACACTGTCCTAAGAAATAAGGCAAAGTGCAAGAGGGGGCCACTCTGGGCCTCGGCCTCATCAGGGAGACTTCTTTTCTCCACCTCAAACGGGGGGGGACCAGGGTGGCTGCAAGGGGACCCCGCCTGGAGCGGGTGCTAGGTACCAGGAGGGCAAAGCAGCCACATAGAATAGGGTCTCCTCCCCATCTCGCCCCACCTGGCTTAACCTCTCCTTCCTGAACTGGGAAATGCACTGGTCAGTAGGTTGTCCAGCTTCTGAGACTGGTCAGCCAGGTGGGGAAGGCCAAGCGAGGCGTCCTTGTGCCTTTTTTTCTCTCTCTCTCTTCTGGAAAAGGTCCCGTTGTTAATTCTGCAAACCCTTCAACACGCACATCATTCCTGCTGCAAGTCTGGACTCTTTTTGGGGGGGCCACATTCCACCCCATAGCTGGTCACCCCTGGCCCAGCCCGCCCAGGGCCTACGCTGAGCAGGGAGGCGTAGATGCTGAGGAGGGGGCTCATGCTTCAGTCCCAGCTAGTGTCATCAGTGGGTGGCTGGTAGGCGGTCTCACCCACAACCAGAAGCCCTCCCTGCCCCCCCTCCCAGAGGGCCCAAGGCACCTCTGCCCCACAACCAGGCATCAGCTCAGTCCACATTTCTGCTCTTGAATGGCTTTTGGATCCTTTCACTGGGGGAGGGGGGGGCTGAAATTGCCTGGACTGCTGTAGAGAGCCAGAGAGGGAAGGAGAGTGACAAGGTCCAAGGGGGGGGGGGCGTTAACTCTTCTGATAGCCACGTTTTAGCCCAGCTCCCCCCTCCCCGATTGCCAGAGAGTCAAAGAGGCAGAATCAAAGCAGGGAAAGGCGCAGGCTGACTCTTCAGCTGGCCCCTTCCTCACTTTCTTCGGAGGGCAGAACAGAAGCTGCAAGACAGAGAGCCGAGAACAGTGAAAGAAGCAGCAGCTCAGAAATAGCCTTTATTCAACGTTAAACAAAAGAAGAAAGTCACGAACAACTTTGCAGCTTGCATTACATACAAAAGCAAAGTGGACAGTTGTTCTTCCCGAACATCCGCATGAGCTTCAAAAGCCTCGCAAAGGACGCCCACTTTGTGTTATTTCCGTGCTGGTGCCAGGCGGTCAGACTGGCATACTCAGCCCGCAGCCTCCCTTAAGGTGGACTCGAGGCGGGGGGGGGGAGGGTGGAGCAGGAGCCCGGAGTCTTGGGGCCGGATGGCAGGCGTTGGCCATGACGTGTCCGGGCCAAGCAGGCACTCAGAGGGCACAGATGCCCCCCTCACCAGGAGTCTGAGATGACCCAAAGGGATGATTTGGGGAGGGGGCTCAGAAGGAGGGGCACCAAATGGGCCAAGAAGCTGTTTGGATGCAGAGGGTACCCTAAGCTCTCTCCAGCATCCTTCCTAGGGGGAAGGTTGGGGCCTGACCCACTCCTGCTCTGGAGCCCTGCGGGGGGGGGGTGTCAGAAAGGGGCTCCCTCCCTTGCAACAGAGGAGGGAGGGTCTCATGCCTGATTTATCTGGGCGGGTCTGGGTTGGGGGAAAGCCATAGAGCGCCCCAAGGTGGCTGGCCTAGGGCGGGAGCAGGGGGCGGGCGGGCGCGCCCCCAGGGGAGGGGAGGGGGAGAAGCAGCAGCCCGGCCGGAGACGGGCGAGCCCCCTCGGGGCCGACGGGCAGAGAGCTCCCTGCTCGGCCTGGGAGCTCCCGGCGCCGCCCTCTGGCCGCCCCGGCCTCGCCCGCCCCCCGCCCCCCGCCCGGGGTCTCGGCTGCAGGCGGCGCCGGCAGAAGCGGCCGGGCTGGTTCCCATGGCAACGGGGAGCGTGCAGCCTGCCTGGCTACGGCGCGAGCGGGCGAAGTGACGGGCCGCCTCCCGGCAGATGGAGGAGGAGGGGGAGGGGAGGCGGCGGCGGCGCGCTCCGGCCCCCGCCCCAGCCGAGCCCCCCGGGCAGCCGCCTCGGCCAGCGGAGGAACGCCGGGCCCGGCATGGGCAGCCGGGCCGGCCGTCGGGGCGCCCCGCTCGCTGAGCCGCGGCCCGCCCGGGGGCGAAGGGTGGAACGCGGCAGCCCCGCGCCCGATCCAGCCCGGGCGGGCGGCTCCTGAGCTGAGCCCCTGAGCGGCGCCCTGCCGGCCGCGGGACGATGAAGAAGTTCGCCTCCCCGCGCAGCCTGAACAAGATCCTGCAGCAGTGCGACGCCGCCTCGTCCCGCGAGTACGAGGAGATCCAGGCGGCGGAGAAGAAGCGGCCCCGGGCCCTGGCCGCGCCCCGCCGGCTGCTGGTCAGGCGCTGCAAGACGCCCTCTCTCTTCCTTGCAGCCCCGGCGCCGCCCAAGCGCGCCCCCAGCACCACCCTCACCCTGCGCTCCAAGTCCATGACCGCCGAGCTGGAAGAGCTGGGTAAGTCGCCCCCCCGCGCGGCCCGGGAAGGGGCAGCGCCCGGCCCGACTCCGGGGGGGGCTCCTCCCTAGCCACGCCCTCTCGGGGCCCCAGCACCCCCCCCCCCGATGCTTGCCCCCGCCGCGCCCTTTCCTGCTTTTGCAAGGAGCCCCCGCCTTCCTTCCCCGCCTGTGCTGCGCCCGGGTCCTCCCCGAACGTCTGTATCTCTGCACAGCTGCCGCTCCCGCCTTTGCCCCCCCCCCCGCCCGACACGCTTGCATGCAACCTGCCTTTCTTTCACCTCGAGGCAACGCCTCTGGCGATTTCCGCACCTTGGGAGCGTGATGATGCGTGGCCTTCAGCTCCCAGAATTCCTCAGACTTCTGGGCCTGGCTGGGGGATTCTGGGAGTTGAAGTCCGCTTATCTTCAAGTTGCCAAGCTTGAATAACCTTGGCCTTTCATGACTGTGTACTCCCAGAATTCCTCAGCCAGGACATCAGGCGAGGGAAAGCTCCTCAGAAAGTTGACAGGTTAGGAAGTTTTCCTTATGGCTGCTTGGGCATCAAGGGAGGGTTTACAGAGCACCGATTAGTTGCTTTGACTTCCTGACCCCCCCCCTCCCCATGGAGGTCTTCTCCTGAAGAACCAGATTGGGGAATCCTCGCTCCCCTTCAACTCTGCGCAGCCACCCAGGTGGGCCTTGTGGTCATGGTCACCGTCCCTATCTGGGAGAACCCCAGATTGCTCCAGACCCCACGGTCCTTTCAGCCACACACCTTTCGCTGACCAGTCCAGTGGCTAGAATAACGACTTGGGCCTTCGGAGTCCTCTTCTGCCTAAAAATCATCCAGACTGGCCTGAGGGATGAGAGCCGCTGGCCTCCTTCCTTCCTTCCCAGAATTTTAGCCTGGCCGGGGACGTAGGGTGGGTTGCAGGATCACTAGCCACTCAGAGGCCTGGATTAGCCCCCCACGGCTCAGCAGCAGCCCTCTTGGGCCAAGGTGGCTCCGATGGCCATCACCTCCTTGGCCAGCTGGCATCTTCTTTGGTTTCTGCCACTTCCACTCTGCACTGTGCAAGGGAAGGGGGGGCTGGGGGCTGGGCCCCCGAGAGGAGGTGGGGAGCTGGAAAGAGGAACACCTCTAAACAGTTTCCAGGGAGGCGTTTTGATGCGCCATTCCCCAACATATCTATTGTGTCTACCTGAGGTTGTTAGGTGGTCCCCAGTGCCCGAACTGGCCAATGGGCTTGACTGCCCCCTCCCCAGAGTTGTGCGGTGGAGGAAGCAGAGCTGAACTGGGGAGTCCTGGGGGGCGCCGCAGAGGGGAGAGAAGCAGCGGCAGGGTGTGGCAGTTGGAGAAAGGGAAGACTAGACCCCCGGCAATAACCCACATTTACATCTTCAGTTCACCAGGCTGAAAGGCTCCTGATGTGCTTTGTGGTTCCGTTGGAGAGGGAGCCCCTGATCCCTTCCAGCGTGTCACATTCGGAGGAAACGGACAGGGGGGGCAAAGGAACGCTTGATCGGTGCCAAGCCAGCCTTGCTGCTATGGGGGAGCATGCATGCCGGGCCAGGGGCTGGGGTGGCACGACGGCTGCCTGGCGGGAAGCGTGTCCAGGGCTGCGTCCCAGAATGCTGCTCCCCCACCCACCCTCCTGGGGGGCCCAGTGAGGAGACCCTCACCCCGGGCCCTGTCTGTCTCCCCTTGGCAAAGGCAGGGGGTGCAGCCCAGGGGAGGAAAACCACCAATCTGCCTCTGACCTCTTGTACTTTGTTTCTTGATTCCAAGCCTCGATGCGGAGGAGGAAAGGGGGTGAGTGCAACTCCCCATACTGGGGGTCCCCTGGGTTCAGGCAGCCCCTCCCACCCCCCTCTTCCCTCCCTCCCTCCCTCCCTCTCCAATGGGGGAGAAGGTGCTTCTGCAACCTGTGCAGGGCCAGCAGCAGGAGGGGCCCCTCCTGGAACCAGGACTTTGGCACCCCTTCCAGCTGTTCACCAGCGGTTCCCAGCCCTGGGATGCCAGCCAGGCTGGTGGGGGGCTATGCAGGAGAGGCTAGAAGGGCTTTCCCTTCTCTTCTCTCTTCTCTCTCTCTCTCTCTCTCCTCCCTCCCCTCCTCCTCTTCTTCTTCTTTTTCTTCTTCTCTCTCTCTCTTTCTCTCTCTCTCTCTCTTCTTTATATATATAAGCATTGGAAAGTCATAGATACAGGGTCTCCATCCATGGGGTGAATGCTGCATGCTGTAAAACAGCCTTTCTCAAACTTCGTGACTTTAAGCCTGGCTGGGGAATTCTGGGAGTTGAAGTCCACCCAGGTTTAAAGTTGCTACAGTTGAGAAAAACACCTGCTATAAAGTATGTTTTGGTTGAGCGTTTAGTTTTTCAGTCTGTCTGTAAAAGAGAAATTTCCCAATTGCCATTCATGTGTGTCACAAATGGAGATAAAATGACTCTTAGGAAGCACTTGAAAGCAGAGGGCCAGCTCGATTGACGAATAAAAACCCCCGTGACTTTCTCATAGCTGAATTTGGTTTTTCGAGGTGGGAATCGAATGTCTCCCACCCTCCTCCAGCCTTTTACCTCCTTCTAACAAAGAGGGACAACGTGGTTATGTCCTACTACTTCGTGGGGAAATTTCTTCCGATCCTGGAGACTAAATTATACAACGGATGGTTGAAGGGAACCATTAATCCATATATCATCCTGGAGAAATGTCTGTCCGAAACATACCAAGAACCACTGCAGGAACTGGATATGTTTAATTTAATGAAAAGAGGGGCCTAACGTGAGCGCAAGTCTTCCAGTATCTGAGGGGCTGCCACAAAGAAGGGGGGGTCCAGCTATTCTCCAAAGCACCCGAGCAGCACAAGAAGTGATGGGTGGAAACTAATCAAGGAGAGAAGCAACCTAGAATGAAGGAGACATTCCCTGACAGTTAGAATAATTAATCAGTGAGACGGCTTCCCGCCAGAAGTTGTGGGTGCTCCACACTGGACGTTTTCAGAAAAAAAGATTGGACAGCCATATGTCTGGGATGGAATAAGGACTCCTGCCTTGCACAAGGGGTTGGGCTAGAGCAGTGGTTCTCAACCTGTGGGTCGGGACCCCATTTGGGGTCAAACGACCATTTCACGGGGGTCGCCAAACAAGGCTGTCTGCCATTTTTTTCCCCTTTTCTTTGGCCACGCCCCTGGCACCCGGTGATGTCTAAGTGGTTGGGGGTCACCACAACATGGGGAACTGTATTATGGGGTCGCGGCATTAGAAAGGTTGAGAACCACTGGGCTAGAAGATCTCCAAGGTCCCTTCCGGCTGCTTGATTCTAGGGTTCCCCTCTGCCCACTAAAAGCAGATTCCCACCAGGTGGTATTTGCTAATAAGAGGGGCCAGTTCATGCCTCTTTGGACCCGTCTGGGGGTTCACTGAGCCCTCCTCCCCACTCTCGCTTCTACCTCCTCGTGGTGAAGAACCCGAGGTGACAAGGCAGCTGCTGCTATGGCCCAGAGACAAGGCCCCCAGCTGGCACCCCTGCAGACGGAAGGGCTGGACAAAATTCGGGGTGGCGGCTGTTGCTTCGGTCTGGAGTGGGGGTGAAGTTGGCGGAGAGTGGGGTGCCGAGGCCTGGCCGGCTCAATCGGGCAGCTGTATGCTGACACGACTGGAGGATGCCCAGTTCAAGCTGGCGTAGATGGGGAACGGTTTTTCATGGATGGCCCGTCCGGGTCCCTCCACAGGACAGGAAGGTTCCCGGTCACTGCAGCCTGCTGGGGCCGAGGCCGTCGTCACTTGTTCTTGCTCTGCTGACCTGAGCCCAGGAGCGGTCTTCTGGCTGCTTTCCGGTCAGGGACCCCGGGCCTGAACCAGGATCTGATTCTGCACGAGGCAGCCAAGGTTGACATGGATTTAGGTCGTGTTACAATTTAGAGACCTGCCACACAAAGCCAGCAGCTGCATTTTGTAAGCCCAGGGTGAGGAGTGAGTTAGCTGAGCCCAGCAGGCTTCATCAGATGAGAGAGATCTTGCAGCTGCGTTCCTACATTATATTAAGCCTGCATCTGAGAGCTGCAGGCCAGGCGATTCAGGGCTTGGGCTGCCAAAGCACGGTCGCAGAGAGAGGACAACCCCTGGCCTGGAAGAGCTGTTGAAGAGCACCCCGCCAGAGGGCTTGGAGGCCTCCCGGAGGCCCCTGGTGAGCAGGGAAGGGCCTGGAGAAAGGGGGAGGATGCCGGGATGGAGCCGGAGTCGGACAAATCCAAATCGGCAGGGACGCCTGTCCAGGCATTTCGAGCAGGAGGTGGGGGCGGGCAGGTGAGGGTGACAAGATGGACTCAGGAGCGGCCTGAGCTGGACCAGAAGGGAGAGGAGGAGGAGGCTGCAGAAAATCTTCATCCGGCAGAGTCTTGCCAAGAGGCTGTCCTGGCCCAGAGGTGGGAAAGGGTCTGGCGGGGGGGGGGGGGAGGCGGATGGATCCTGCAGGGCAGCCCGTTCTGCCAAGGCTCCCTCGTGCAGCAGAAGAAGAACCCTGGGGGGCCTGCAAAGACTGGCAGACACGCACCCCTCATTCACCCAATTGGTCCCACTCCACGCAGTGCCCCCTCCCCCAGCATTTCTCCTGGGGGGGGCAAGGGGCATCATGGATATCTGGAAAGGGGCCGCTAGGCAGGGCGAGGGTTAAATTCCATTTTACTCACATCCCGAAAAAATTCCCACCCCAAACGCAGGGCTGCCGTGTGGAAGCTGACCTCAGAAATATGTTTGCAGGGGGGGGCAAACTGGTAGACAATTCCCTCCCCCCCGCCGCCAGAGGAAGCCAGCCAATGCCCAGGGTGGGCAGGGGAGAAGAGAAGGGTCCAAAGGGGTCCAGAATTATCCCAGTCCTGTGGCTGGGGCCATTGGGGGAGGTTTAGGGTGGGAGATTATTTGGTTCTGGCAATAGAGGAGTCCTGGTCCCACCCCACCCCCACCCACTCAAAGAGGGCCACTGTTTTTTGGGGGTGCCATTCCAGGGGTTGCCCGTTCTTCAGACTCCCTTCTGCAAGGATTTAGGCCGGGAAGCGGCTCCTGATTGCACTAGCATCAGGCCAGTCATCCCCATTTTGTCCAGGCCAGTTTCCAGGGGGGCGAGGGGGGGTCAGCTTGCTGAGGGGTCTGCTCAGCTGAAGCCATCAGGTAGGAAGGAGGTGACGACCGCTTGACTTTGGGGAACCGCTTGACTTTGGGGAACCGCCTGGCTTGAGAAGCTCCGGTCAGATTTCAGGCTGTGTCTTAAAATCCCACCCGGGGGACCTTGCTAAACGCAAAACGTCCTCTCCGAAAATGAAGATGAACTCGTTTTTTGTAGCCAGAAAACACGTGATGTTCACGCTTGTCCCTGGAAGGCCCTGGCGGGAGATTCCTGCAGCTCTTTCACTCACCAGGAGTGAAAGAGCTGCAAACAGATTCTGTCCAACATGCAAACTCTTGCAAACAGACTCCGTCCAACGTGCAAGTGCCAAAGCTCCTTGGAACCGGCTTCTTCACAGCTTGTAGGCTGGATGCTTTTCACCGGGGCTTGTTTTAAACTCGGAGAGCCTGGCTCAAACACTGAGTTGACGCTTCAGTGTGTCTGAAAATCAGGCGCTGGCCAAGACTGTGGATCCAGGAGATTTAGTGGCGGTCACAGCTGGGCAGATGGTCTCCTGCCCAGCTGTGTCCAGAGATTGGCAGCCTTTCTTTGCCACTACAGCAAGGCAGATGACCAGAACCCAGAACTCTGGGCCCACTAAGGCCCATCTTGATCTCCAGTGTTGTTGGAGACTCTGGAAAGAGTGCAGAGAAGCGACAAAGATGATCAGGGGACTGGAGGCTGAAACATAGGAAGAAGAAGGGTGGCTGGAATTGGGGATGTCCAGTTTAATGAAGAGAAGGACTAGGACGTGACACGATAGCAGTATTCCAGTATTTGAGGGACTGCCACAAAGAAGAGGGGCCAATTTATGTTCTAAAGCACCAGAAGACAAGAAACAACAGATGGAAACTGATCAAGGAGAGAAGCAACCTGGAATTAAGGAGAAACTTCTTAACAGTGAGGATAATTCACCAGTGAAGTTGTGGGTGCTCCATCATTGGAGGTCTCCAAGAAGAGATTGGACAGCCATTTGACTGGGATGGTATAGGGTCTCCTGCCTGAGCAGGGGGTTAGACTAGAAGACCTCGAAGGCACCTTCCAACTCTGTTTTTCTGTTAACAATCTGAAGTCCCAAAATCCTGCATCTTCCTCTGAAGACCTTCCCTGTTTTCATTAGCCAAGTGAGACGATTCCAATATTCTGGCTGAACTTCATTTTATGAGGAGATAAAAACGTGGGAGATGGTAGTCCGGCATCCTCTGCCCCCAGATGGGGAGTGGGCTCGGGGTCCTGCAAATGGTGCTGGTGGAACGTCCAGCAGCCCAGCTCGTGTGGCCGTTGGCCAGCTTGTGTGGCCCCAGGGCCCCCATCTGGTTCTCGGGGCAGCTGAGTTGGGAGGCTCTTTGGCTCAGTGGTTCTCCACCTGTGGGTCGGGACCCCATTTGGGGTGGAACGACCATTTCACGGGGGTCGCCAAACAACGCAGTCCGCCATTTTTTCCCCTTTTCCTTAGCTGGGCTACTGCCTTTTATTCTATTGGCTTTTGAAAGCCAATAGAATAGATTCTCTTGAATAGAGTCCAATTCTATTGGCTTTCCAAAGCCAATAGGAATTGTCCAGGCTGTCTCTGCCCTGCTGAGCCTGCCAAAAGTCCCATTCTGCAAACGGTGCTGCACCAGTTAAGTAGTCCTCGACTTACGACCGGTTGAGTAGTCCTCGACTTACGACTGGTTGGGGGTCGCGGCATTAAAAAGGTTGAGAACCACTGCTTTGGCTGGACTCTTGTCAGGAACCCAAACGGCTGTGGTCAGGTCATGGGTTGAGTTTGTGCAACGTAAACCTGGCTACTGAATTAAGCCCATTTTCTGTGTACACCCAACGTAGTGAATCCTGAATTCCCTAACACTAGACGCCTCAGCTGTGGTTTTTCAGCTTCTAGAACTTCAACTCAGTTAGGTTACCTTCTATGAGCACAGCCAGTGGGAGGGCAGCCCTGGGCATCACTCCCTAAGGGGTTGGGGGGCTCATGCTGGATCCAGGTTGCATCGTAATCACTAGACACGACCTCTTGCTTTTGGGCAGAAATAGCGTGGAAAGGCCTGACTTGGCAGTGAGTTGTTGGTGAAGGTGGGGGGCAAGGAAGGATGGATCCTGCCCAGCAAAAGGCAAGGACAAGTAAGGAGAGCCGGTCCAAAGACTTGGAGGGGCCCAGAAGCCCTTGAAGCAGAGCGTACCAAAAGCATTTCACGAACAGGAAGTCAGGACCAGCTTCCCTCCTCTTAAAGCCAAACTGTTCTCTTAAAACAGTTGGGGAATGATGGCCCCTTTATGACTTGTGGACTTCAACTCCCAGAATTCCTGAGCCAGCCACCCGTGGCTGGCTCAGGAATTGTGGGAGTTGAAGTCCACAAGTCATAAAGGAGCCATCGTTCCCCACCTCTGTCTTAAAACAAAACCCGAGAAGCCGGAAGGGGGCAAAGTTCATCTTCTGAGGACTTGACTCAAGGAAGGTGGGGAAGCTCTCCTTTCCCAGCCGGCCGCAAGGACGCTTGGGGTCCTTCCGGTTTTGGGACCAGCTGAGGAAAGGGAAGGCCAGGCGTTGCTCGGCTCTGACTTAGGGAGGCCCCTCAGCAGTTGGGAAGACATGGCAACCTCCTGCTCTCCAGAACCGGTGTGCCTGGGGAGAGGAAGAGGGTGCTCCGCCCATCTCTGGGGAGCTCCGCACGGTGACGGGGGTACCAGATTCTCCTGCCAGGCTCCCTGGGCCTCCCTTCTGGGCACTCCCCACTCTGCAGGACAGCCTAGGCCCCGCGATAGGGCAGGGGGGTCGAGGGCCGGCCCAGCTCACTCGGCGTGTTGTGTCTGACTTTGCAGAGAAGCTGGACGAGATCCTGGCAGCGGCTGAGCCCTCGCTGAGACCAGACCTGGTGGAAGCAGACTCCAGGGCAGCCACCGTGAAGCAGAGACCGACCAGCCGGCGCATCACCCCTGCGGAGATCAGTGTGAGAGGGCTGGGCTGGGGGCTGCACCCTAAGAGCAGGTTGAGAAAGGGCCGGGACGTCTGCTGAGGCCAGCTGGGCCCGCACCGGTTTTCTCGGCAGCCACGTGGATGATGCAGGCCGAAGGGCCACCCGGCGGCTCCATTGAGCCGGCCCTTGGAGGACCAAAACCTTTGTCCGGGTCAGAAGGCCACTTAAGTTTCCAGAGTAGAGAATAATGATAATGATGTTGGAAGGGACCTTGGAGGTCATCTAGTCCAACCCCCTGCTCAGGGAGGAAGCCCTATACTATTTCAGACAAAGGCTAATTTCAGCTAGGCTAAAGCTGGCTGCCCTAGGCCAGGGGTAGGCAACCTTGGCTCTTTTCTGACTCATGGACTTCAACGCCCAGAATTCCTGGAGCCAACATGGCTCAGCTTGGAAACCTCTCCCTTTCCCCTCAGCATGGCTGGCTCAGGAATTCTGGGAGTTGAAGTCCACCAGTCAGAAAAGAGCCAAGGTTGCCTGCCCCTTACCTAGGCCAGTGATGGCGAACCTTTTAGAGACCGAGTGCCCAAACTGCAACCCAAAACCCAGTTACGTATCGTCGGGTGCTGGGTGGGCGTGGCCCATTGGGTGAGTGTGGCTGCAGTGGTCACAGCAGACTGGGTGGGACTAATCAATTCCAACTTTGCAAGATCTTTTTTTTTTCCTGCGAGAAGTTGAAATTGATTGATTGAACTTTTTTTTTTTTTTTTTGCACACGGCGGCGCAGGCCTAAAGCAAAAAGGTTTCATAAAACCCAGCTGAAGGCCTAGGACTGGGGCAATGGCATGCGTGCCCACAGAGAGGGCTCTGAGTGCCACCTCTGGCACCCGTGCCATAGGTTCACCACCACTGGCCTAGGCTGTCCCTTCAGCCTTTCCCAGTTTGGGGGGAGGGGATGACTCATAAAATTCCCAGCCATTATGGCATAATGCCAAGTACAGGTAGTCCTCAATTTACAGCAGTTCTTTTAGTGACCATTCCAGGTTACAATGGCACTGAAAAATGTTGAGTTATGACCATTTTTCACACTCGCGGCATCCCCCCATGATCACCTGATCAAAATTCAGGCGCTCTGCAACGGGTTTGTATTTCCGATGGTCGCTGTGTCCCCAGGGGTCACGTGACCCCCCCCCCCTTTTTGCCCCCTTCTGACCAGCCAGATGCATGGAGAAAGCCAGATTAATTTAGCGGCCGTGTTGTTAACTCAGCAGCTGCAGGGATCTGCTTAACAAAGGAAGAAGAAAGAATTTGGATCACGTGACCCACGGGGAGGCTGCAACGGTCGCAAGTGTGAAAAACATTCCTAAGGCAGTTGTTTCAGTGCCATTGCAACTTTGAACGGTCACTAAACGAATGGTTGTAAGTCCAGGGCTGCCCGTAAGTGGTCCCGGGGGGCCCCCGGCGGTCCCTCCTGGCCCCCAGTGCTCGGGGGAGGGGAGCCGCCGTGGGACTGGCCGTGTCTCCTCTTTCTCTTGCAGTCCCTATTCGAGCGCCAGGGGATGGCGACCCACGCCGGGCCCGAGAAGCCCCACGTCTCCCTCCGCAAAGGCCTCCCGCGGACCAAGTCTGTAGGTAGGTGGGGTCTCCTCTGGCTCTCCCGGGGGCCCCGTGGGCAGGGGGCGGCCTCAGCCCAGACTGTGCAGGGAGTCCCTGGCTCATGACCACAGCTGGGCCCAAAATTCCCGTTGCTAAGTGAGACGTTGGTTAAGTGAGTTTTGCCCCATTTTATGACATTTCTTGCCAAGGTGGTTAAGTGAATCCCTTTAGGTGTTGAGTGAGTCACACGGTTGTTAAGTGAATCTGGTTTCTCCATTGACTTTGCTTGTTCGGAGGTCACGAGACCCCGGGACGCCGCAACCGTCGTAAATGTGAACCGGTTGCTAAGTAGCTGAATTTTGATCACGTGACCCTGGGGAGGCTGCGACGGTTGTAAGCGTGAAAAACGGTCACGAGTCACTTTTTCCAGTGCCACTATACGAACGGTCACTAAATGAACTGTTGTAAGTCAAGAGTTACCTGTACACCAGCCTGTCGCTGAGGTCACCTGGTGCAGCTGTTGGCTGGCTGGCCGATGCCCCCTGAAGCCGGGTCTCAGGCGACACCCAGGTGAGGTGCTTGTCCCCGGGTGACCTGCACGAATGACAGGCGCTGTTGTGGACAGGTCAGTTTCCCTGACTAAGCCGTCTTCCAGGTGGGCTACCTTGATTATGGGAACTCGGGCTGCTGTTTCCCATGGAGAGAGCCCTGATTGACAGGTGCAGTCACGGCTGTGGCTGCCCGATCACCTTGCAAGGCACGGCTCCCCCTCCACCTGGGCTCTCCTTAAAAGAAACCAGCCTCTCAATGTCGGGTTTGGGAACAGCGTCCCCGTGGAAAGGACCCCGTGGCTCTGAGCTGGATCCCAAGGATTTCTCCCCAGCGTGCAGAGGATCCCAGGGACCAGGCCTGTGCGGCTGCTGTTCACCGGGCTGATTTGTGAGCAGGGTTCAAGCAATGGGAAGCACAAATTCACAGACAGAAACGGGGGCATCTGCCTGTTTATACTTCGCTTAGCGGGACATCAGCAGAGCGAGTGTGAAAAATATCAGCGTTCCAAACAAGGCATGGGAAAAAAAAATATCTCTGGGAAATTGCCCTGCTGGAGCTGAAAATAGTTCAGCGCCCTAGAATGAAAAGGCCACCTGTAAGGTTTCCGTTTAAAAGGTTGCAGCAGGTGGAGAAGGAGAGGCGGCACGTCCTGACACGACCGTGGGAGAATTCCAGCTGGACGCAGAGCAGAAGAGGAAGCCGGGCGTGGCAGGCAGAGCCTTGGGGGGGAGACATGGGGGTTCTGGTGATATTTGGGGGGCTGCTGCTGCTCCTCTGTCACCTGCCAGTGCTCAGAGCAACGGCTGCAGGGCACCTCCCCTCAGGGAGAGATGCCAGTCCCCCCGCCCGTGGGAAAATATTCTGGGCACAACAACAGCTGACAAGCGGCAGTGATTCACGGCCCTGGAGCTTCCGAGCAGGTTTTTGCTCTGCTTGATGCGGAAACGTGGGGGGGTGAGGTGGAAGCAGCGAGGCAGGAGCGCATTTCTGGTGGAACTGAGGCCAGAATTAGACCCTCCGAGGGATGCTAAGAGAAGAAAGGCAGCAAGAAGGAAGTGGGGGGAGCCAAGGGGGTCTTTATTGTGAAGTGGAGGAATGCAGGATCGATTTTAAGTGTTGGGCCCAAGGATTGGGTTTGCCATAATGCAGAGGTCTACAAACTTTGCAGCTTTGAGAGGGGCGGACTTCAGCTCCCAGAATTCCTCAGCCAACATCAAGGCTGGTTGGGGAATTCTAGGAGTTGGAGTCCATGCAGCTTAAAAGTAGCCCAGGTTGAGAAAGAGTGGCTTAGATTGCTTTCGATTAAGCAAGGTGGAACCTGGTCTGGGGATACAGCTTTGCCCTTCTGGATCTCTCCATGATTCCAACACTTTCTGTGAGATGGTGTCCTACAAGGGTCAGTTCTACAAGGCCGACTAAGAAAGCAACACCTTGTAGGTCAGGGCGACTTTCACTGTTCACAATTACAGCGATGGAGCCTTGCCAATTTGAGTGTGTTTCTCCTTCCTTGCCTTTATCTCTGTGAGAACCGAGAAAGGAGCGCTTGTGTTCCTTTCGTGGCCTAGTCTCAGCCCTCACTTATCAGACCGTCGCCTTGGCTCTTCCCTTTCTCGTCCTCCTCTACGGTGGTCAAAGCTGTGGCTTTCCAAGTAGTGACTGTGGCTGTGAGAGTTGGACCGTAAGGAAGTGTCAGGCCTCCATCTGCGGAAAAAGTGAACTGGAACTGCGGGACCCTATGGAGGCCAAGGGAGAGGTGTCTGTGGCTTCAGAGGAATGTGGGGAAGAGCAGGCCGAGGCAGGCCAGGACCCTTCAGGATTGGAACAGGAGGAACAGGAGAGGCAGAGTTCAGGCGATGAGCAGGGGCCACCCCCTAGAGCAGGGGTTCTCAACCTTGGCAACTTTAAGACTTGTGGACTTCAACTCCCAGAATTCCTCAGCCAGCAAAGCTGGCTGAGGAATTCTGGGAGTTGAAGTCCACAAGTCTTAAAGTTGCCAAGGTTGAGAACCCCTGCCCTAGAGCACAGAGAGTGGAGAGAAGGAGGGAACCACACAGACAGGCTCAACTACTCAGGAGGAGGACGTCTCGCCCTTCTCCATAAGGAACACCTGGAGATTGATATTTAAGGAGACGCTGTGGGGAAACAAACGCTGATTCTTGGAGTGTTGTGTATTGTTGCTGATCTCTTGTTCTGTGACTTCTGTTTGGAAACCTGGGTCATCACAGGAAGGCTGAGTGCCAAAGAACTGATACTTTCAAATTGTGCTGGAGAAGACTGCGAGGAGGATCCAATCCCTTGATCCTAAAGGAAATCAACCCTGTTTTTGGAAGGACAGATATGGAAGGTGTAGCTCAAATGCTTTGGCCACATAATGAGAAGGGAGGACTCCTTGGAGAAGACCCTGATGTTGGGAAAGACAAGGCAAAAGGAGAAGGGGACGGCAGAGGATGAGATGGCTAGATAGGGTCATGGCAGTGTACATGAATTTGGGCAAACTTTGGCAGACAGTGGAGGATGGGGGGGCTGGCAAGCTATGGTCCATGGGGTCACAAAGAGTCAACAAATTGCCCTCTACATCAGTGTGGTGCTGGGGGGAGCACTAACAGTTTTGACTTGTTTTACCACAAGCCACCATCATGCCCACCCATCCACCTGAAACTGCCATGGGAGGCCATCCAGAATTCCCTAGTGGGACGCCATCGATGTATTGATGAACTCAGATCTTGTTCTTCATCGCTGAACCCCAAGGAAGCTCCAAAACTCTTGAACGTTGCCTGTGTGCAGAATGAGGCTGAACAAACTGACATTCAGTTCAGATAAGACTAAAGTGTGGTTGACATTGGAGGATTCAGTCTCCGTCTCCTCCTCCTCCTCCTCCATGTATGACCAAACACCATAAAAGACCAGCCTACAACACAATGACTAGAAAAGGACATTTTAAACTTGTGAGAATATCAGAAATCACAGAGGAACCTCAACAGCTAGCACCAGATGGCTTCTAACAGCTCTAATTATTGGTAGAATTTTGCATTCTTGGCGAAGGTTTCTGAAGAGTGGTCACCCAAGAGAAGGGGGATCTCCCTCCGGTCCGCAGAAAATCCTCTCTCCGCGGAACCGGTGATCCCTGGTGCCCCAAAGGCTGGGGACCTCTGCTCTAACACTTTCCTGCAGGCCCCCCCCCCCTCCGTAGCCCCCGTTTCATAGCCGGTGACTTCATACACAGACGCCTCCTTTGGATGGTCTAATGGGGGACTTCATTACAGGTAGTTTTTGACGTTTAGTGACCATTTGAAGTTACGAGGGCACTGGAAAAAGTTAACTTATGATCACTTTTCATTTCTTATGTCCGTTGCAGCCTCCTGATGGTCACGTGATCAAAATTCTGACCCTTGGCAACTGACTCGTATTTATGATGGTCGCAGTCTCCCGGGGAATCACGTGATCTTCTTTTGTGACCTCCTGACAAGCAAAGTCAATGGGGAGGAAGCCGGATTCACTTAACAACTGTGTGACTTAACAATTGCAGTGATTCGCTTAACAAGGGTGGAAAGAAAAATTGTAAAGTGAGAGAAAATTCACTTAGCAACTGTCTCACTTAGCCACAGAAATTTTGGCTCAATTGTGGCCACAATTCGAGGACTATCTATATTTCCCAGGCTGCTCTACGAAAGAGTGTGTCATTGTGGCAATGTTACTATGACTGTGACACACTTTGCATCCTTTGTGCAATGGCCTCCTTGCATAAAGGTCAGGAAGGGCAGTGGGAGGTGGGGTCCTGGGCATAGGGGGCTGCTGATGCTGGTCCAGCAGGATCCCCCTGGAGAGGGCTGATCCCAGCATGCCTTGCAGAGGCCACAGCTGCACTCAGCGCCACGAAGATCCCCAGCACTGCCTAGAAGGCGCAGCACAACTGCACACGGCGTTTGTTCCACAGGGCCTTTGCGCATTGTGCTACCCTGGGCAGGAGATACAGCTGGCTTGGTTCTGCTTAGCAACATCATTTTTTAGGTGCCAGACTCCAGAGGAGTACGAATCACTGCCCACGACGCAAAGGGCTCTTTGCAAGCAATTCGGTGAAAATTATTTCCCCTTAATTGCCCTTCCCCAGCCTGCCTGCTCTGCGCCTTCCCAGTTAGCGGTCCTGGCCTGGGTCTTCCTGCCGTTTCTGGCTCAGGAATTCCAACCGCTAAAGAATATTTATAGCTCAGGGTTGAAAGGAGAGGTCCTCAGTGTGTCTCTGAGCTTGGTTGTTTTATTGCAGACGTTTTATGACCTAACTAGGTAACGTCATCAGTGCTAGAGTGGTGAGGAGAAGGAGGAGGACTATAGGGTCCTCAGTGGTCTCTTGAGCTTCATTGTTTTCTTGAAGACGTTTCATTACCCAACTAGGGAACATCATCAGTACTAGAAGGAGAGGGGTTCGCTCTCTGTTTATGTACTAATGGTTCCCCCTGTCACTGTTGGGGACGGTGTTCTTGATGGTTCCCTGATTAGGCCGTTCACTCCCCTGTAGCACTGATGATGTTACCTAGTTGGGTCAGGAAACATTTGCAAGGAAACAGCCCGGTTCAGAGAGCACCAAGGACCCCTCAATTCCAACTGCCTAAGGTGCACCACGAGCCTCGCCTCATTTGCTGGCTTTGTAGTCCATCTTGATGGCCAAAGAGAGAGAAGCATCATTTTACCTCCCGAAGGAGCTGCAACTTTTCCTCTTTTGCTGTTTTTTAGGTGAAGATGAAAAATTTGTGGCTTCCCTAATGGATGGAAAATTTCCCCGGAGTACGTCAATGCAAGATACTGTCCGAGAGGGCCACGGCATTCCCCCCCCACCACAAACCGCTCCTCCCCCACCTCCCTCCCCCTACTACTTCGACACAGGCCCACCCCCTTCCTTCTCCCCGCCTCCACCCCCAGGGAGGGTCTATGACACTGTCCGGTCCAGCTTCAAGCCAGCCTTGGAGGCCAAGCTGCATGGGCTGCCGCCAGTGATCAGTGCAGCCGAGATGTACGACCAGGCCAGGACTGGCATCCCCTACCCCGAGCGGCAGAAACGGGCCCGCTCCATGATCATCCTGCAAGACTCCTCCCACATCCCCGTGGAGCCCACCGACATTCCCCGACCAGGCCCCTCAGCCACCCCGCCCGAGAAGCTGAAGCGGAAGGGCCGTGGGGCGGACAACCCTTACGCCAACATGGGCCAGTTCAATGTCAGTCTCTTTGCACCCACCAAGCCCCAGCGCAAGAAGAGCCCCCTGGTCAAGCAGCTGCAGGTGGAGGATGCGCAGGAGCGCGCGGCGCTCTCCGTGGCAGGGGGCTTTCCCCGGGAACCCTCCCCCACCCGGCGGGGTCACCGCCTGAGCGGGATGGAGTTCTCCCAGCAAGTGGACACCGCCAGCCTGCCCTTTGCCACAGCGGTCACGGGGGCCATGAAGGACCGAGATCGGCGCCTCGACGAGAAGCGGAAATCCACTGTCTTCCTTTCCGTGGGGGCCATAGAGGGGAGCCCCCCCACCATAGACATGCCATCGCTGCAGCAATCCCGGTCCATCGACGAGCGTCTGCTGGGGAGCCGGGACGTTCTCCTGCCTTCCCCCGTCTCCGCTTTAAAGCCATTCCTCAGCAGTTCCTCCTCAACGTTCATACACCCCCTGACAGGGAAGCCCCTGGACCCCAACTCCCCCCTGGCACTGGCGCTGGCCGCAAGAGAGAGAGCCCTCTCCACCCAGGTCTCCTCCAGAGGGGCCACCCCCATCCACAGCCCTGACTCCGACCGGGTGGCGCCCTTGTTTGTGGACATCCAAACCAAAGACCAAGAGAGAGGCGAGCTGGAAGGCCGGGGATCTCCCGCATATTCTCCAGGAGCCAAGGTGGCCACCCCCAGCTCTCTGACCCCCACCCAGAGCCCCTGGGGGATGCCCGGAATCACAAGGAAAGAGGGCGAGGCACGAACCGTGACCCCGGTGAAGGAGGTGGAGAAGAAAGTAGAGGACAAGAAGGCCATGATCCTCAGCATTGTGGATACCTCGCAGCAGAAGATGGCCGGCCTGATCATGGTGCACGCGACAAGCAACGGCCAAGAGCTCGGCTTTGACGTGCAGGAGGAGAAGACCTCCGTCCCAGAGGCGGGCCCAGAGCCAGCGGAAGTGTCCATGGTGGAGGCTCAGCCCAGTCCCGTGGGGAAGGCGCCCGTCAGCCCAGCCTTGGACAAGACTCTTGGACAAGGGAGTTCGGAGGAGGAAGTAGAGACGTACACGGTCACTCTGCCGCCCGCTCAGCTGTCCTCGAGCGATGAGGAAACCAGGGAGGAGCTGGCTAAGATTGGCCTGGTGCCACCGCCCGATGAGTTTGCGAACGGGGTACTGGTCACCACCGCTGGCACACCTATCAGCCAACTGGCTGCTCCAGCCATTGCCCCGCCATCCGTGCCAGCGGCAGCGGTCCCACCTTCTACCACGGGTGGAACACCCTCAGGGAAGCCCACTGGTGCCCCCACCGCCCCGGAGTCTGCCGCAGACTCGGGAGTGGAAGAGGTGGACACCAGAAGTTCAAGTGACCATCACCTGGAGACCACAAGCACCATCTCCACTGTCTCCAGCATGTCCACGCTGTCCTCCGAGAGCGGGGAGCCCACCGACACCTACACCTCCTTTGCGGATGGGCACACTTTTGTATTCGAGAAGCCGCCAGTGCCTCCAAAGCCGAAACTCAAGTCCCAGACCAGCAAGGGGCCGGTAACCTTCAGGGACCCACTTTTGAAGCAGTCCTCGGACAGCGAGCTCATCTCCCAGCAACACACGGCCATCCTGGCTTCCGCCAGCATCGGCCGGCCACGCTACCTCTTTCAGCGAAGGTCCAAGCTGTGGGGGGACCCCCTGGACAGCAGGCCCCTCCACGGGCCGGAAGATGACAAACCAACTGTGATCAGCGAGCTCAGTTCCCGGCTGCAGCAGCTGAACAAGGACACGCGCTCCCTGGGGGAGGAACCTGCCGGTGGCGTGTTAGACCCTGGAAAGAAGTCTCCCGTGGTGGCAGCACGGTAAGACCTCCCCCCAGCCAGACAAAGGGGGGGCTGCAGGGGGCCTCCTGCCCTGGTCAGGAGGGGCCTTCCACTGACCCTTCCCCAGCCTCACGGTCTTCCTTGGCCAGGCAAGCGGTGGTCCAGGACCCCACTCAGCCCCCCCCCTTCTTCCAGAGGGGGAAGATGCCAGAATGACATTTCAGGACTTGTCCCCATCTAGGTCCTGGGGGGGCAATGGGGATCCCCTCGCCCCGTCCCGAAGCACGAAAAGCGCCCTTGTTTTCCTAGATACAGGCAGTCCTGGACTCACGACAGTTTAGTTAGTGACCGTTCAAAGTTACAACGACATGGAATAAAGTGACTTACCGCCATTTTTCACAGTTACACACTTTGCAGCATCCCCATGATGACGTCATCAAAATCCAGATTCCTTTAGTGTTTCTTCACTGAACGCTTCGGGCAGTGCAAATACAGGCCAAGATTTCCTTCTAAGACAGGTCCTCAACCTTGGCAACTTTAAGACTTGTGGACTTCAACTTCCAGAATTCCTCAGCCAGCTTTGCTGGCTGAGGAATTCTGGGAGTTGAAGTCCACAAGTCTTAAAGTTGCCAAGGTTGAGGACCCCTGTTCTAAGAAGCCATTTCTAGCTTGAGCCCCCTCTGGCTCCCTGGGGCTTTAGGGCCCAAACGCCCCAGCAATCCCTTTGAGGGATCTCCCAACCTCAGGCGCAGCTGGAGTCGGAATCCACTGGAGATAAGAGCCAGGGAGGAGGTGGGCCGTTGGATCCCACTGCTAGCGGGCAGAACAGGTCCCTGTCATCAGAAGAGGAAACCATGATGGCTTGCACTCTTGTTAGGGTCCCCAGCATGGGAAGGTTTGGCCACCTTAATTCAGCCTTGGAAAGTTCTAGAAGGAGACTGATGACCTCTCGGGGGGGGGGGCTTCCCATTTTTCCCCCATGCCGTATTTGGGGGGGGGGGAATAGCCTTCCATTTGAGACCCTTGCTGCACTGCATAGAACCGGGGTGGGCAACTATGGCCCCTTTACGACCTGTGGACTTCAACTCCCAGAATTCCTGAGCCAGCATGGTTGACTGAGCGATTCTGGGAGTTGAAGTCCACAAGTCTTCAAGTGGCCAAGGGTGGACATCCCAGAGTTTCATCTGGGTCCAAGTCGGCTCCCCAGTTTATCTAGAATTGTAATTTGTAACCTGTCTGGGGGGAGAGGTTGGGGGGAGCAGAAGGGGAAGGGGGGAAGGAGACAGAAGAGAAGGATATGATTGATGTGGTTTGTGCTTGGAAAACCCACCACTGCTTTGTATTCTTACAGATCTGACAAAGACATTGAAGAGAATTAAGCCTTTTAAGCCTTTTAGCCTCTAGGGTAAAGCTTCCTCTTTCTCTCTATCCCCGCTAAGTCATTGTCAGCTGAAGCTATAATAGCTGGTCTGAGCTTCCAACTAAGGCAATTAACACCTTACCAATTTCCTTGTAGGCGTTGTTGCCACGGTCTTACACACCCCGAGGTCTGACCCCAAACGTGGACAAATTGAGGGCAAATGCCTCTCTTAAGGCAGCCTCTTCTCTACCTGTTGGATGCCTGTCTGGAGGAGGGTCTTCCAGGATCAAGAAATGTGTTTGGGCCACAGGAGTCAGATAGAGGCTTGGCAGCACTAAGTTCTTCGCTCTATTTGACTGCGTTGACATTTGTTGGTCTAGGGCGGGGGTCTCCACACTTGGCCACTTTAAGACTTGTGGACTTCAACTCCCAGAATTCCCCAGCCAGCTGCCAGGTTTGGAGGCCCCTGGTCTCGCATGCTGAGAGTACGTCCGCCCTGTGCATTGAGTCCCTGGGTAGAAAGCCTCATTCTTTATCACTGCAGGAGATGCATTGAAGTATCCATAGACCTGATTTAATATTTCCATGCCAGATCAATAATTCTTCTGCAAGGGCACTATACAACTATTAACCATAATACACACACACACACACACACACACACACACACACACACACACACAGCCTCTCTAGAAAGCTCAAAGTGGGCGTTTCCAGACCCACTGAAAAAATGCATATCCCATCTGTGTGCCTAAATGGGAGCCCTTCCCAGGCCAGAAACCTGTTTGGGGGTTACCTTGTCCCACTGGTCTTCTCCAGCCTGGGGCCCTCTGTGGAGTGGGACCCACTGAATCCCCTAAGATTCCCCCCTATTCTTGGCAGGCAGGGCTAACGAAGACAGAACTCCACCGCTGATGGAAGAAGGGACCTGCAGTATTGGTGGGTGAGGCAGGGCCCTCTCTGGGTGGTGCCCTTTCACGAAAATCAACTTCGCTAGGGACACCCTCGTCATCCTTGACATGGAGTTTATCCATAGTTCTCATGCCGTAGATGCCTCTGGACAGGCCCATGAACCAACCTCATTATGTACAAAACCGATCCCCAAACAGAGCCGGGGTGGAGCCACAGTGGTTAGAATGCAGTATTGCAGGTTAGACTCTGCCCACTGCCAGCAGTTCGATCCTGACCAGCTCCAGGTTGACTCAGCCTTCCATCCTTCCGAGGTTGATAAAATGAGGACCCAGATTGTTGGGGGCAGGAGGCTGACTCTGTAAACCGCTCAAAGAGTGTGATAAATGCACCGTGGAGCGATATATAAGTCTAAGTGCTGTTCTATTGCTATCTATGCCCCACCCACCCCCACATGGAGTAATTCATATTCTCCAGGAAAACGGGCTTTGACAGAGAGTGCGCACTGCCTACAAGGATACAGGGGTAAGAGGGCCATTGTTGCTCACAAGTCATGGCATGCATTTATGACTGATCGATTGCTGTCACTCCATCCATTGCTAACCCCTTACTAATCCTGGCTTGCTCACCCCACTGGGGAGGTTCACCGTGGGTCCTGCCCCTTGACTCCTGCATGTTCACGGAGGGCGGGGGAGCAGGCAAAGAGAGACGCCTTTCATATCTACTGTGCCCCGAGAGATGGTTTCAGGTTTGGAAGGAGAAGTCAGAAGCATTTTGTTTTCTGCGACAGTCCAGCAATGAAAGCAACAAGCCAGGAAAAATAATTTGGGGGCATATGAGAAAAATTCCACTTGGGTTTGCGGTAACGTAAAGCAATTCGCTTACACCAGATTTTGGCCCTGAGCCTGGCTTAGCCTCAGATCTCTTTGGAATAATAAGCCCAGCCCAAGCTTCAGAAATCTGACATTAGATTGTTGAAGTCGCCTCTTGAAAGGATCGGCATACGGGTGCTCCTCCTGCTTAGTGACCCCTCGTTCAGCAACCGTTCAAACTTGCAGACAAACAAAGTCAGTGGGGAAGCCAGAGGGCGTCACAAGAGGAGACCACATAATGTCCTTGCTCAACAACCTTTGGTGATTGGCTTAACAACAGCTGGAACTGCCAGAATTACCATCGTTAAGCAGCCTGGTCGTGTGATGTCACGCTATAGGATTGCGTTGCTTAATGATGGCAATTCCAGTCCCAGTTCTTGTGGTTAACGAAGGACTGTGTAATATTATATGATCAAGATACTTCTGAAATAACTTCTAAGGCACAACTATGATCAAAACCCTTACTTCCTTGTAAAATAAAGTTTTATTCTCTAACCAAGGTGACTACTAGCGTGGCATTTGCAGCCTGAACCCCTGGGAATCTTGATTGCCATTGTCCCCAGTTCAGTAGTCCTCATGAAAGCACTGATTTGTAAGAGTCATGGTGGCGCAATGGTTAGAATGCAGTACTGCAGGCTAATTCTGCTGACTGCCGACTGCCAGCAGTTCAGCAGTTCGATCCTGACTGCTCAAGGTTGACTCAGCCTTTTATCCTTCCAAAGTCGGTAAAATGAGGACCCAGATTGTTGGGGGCAATTATGCTGACTCTGTAAATCACTTAGAGAGGGTTGTAAAGCACTGCAAAGCATAATATATCAGTCTAAGTGCTGTTGCTATTTGTGGATTGTTGATTGCTTAGGAGGAAACGGTTGACACGCTAGGGAATAAGGCTGAGTTCTATAGAGGAGCGTCTTCTAGATGATATTGTGGATAAGAATCTGCCCTTGCTATAAGTTGGCACCTGAGAGACGAAGGCCCAGGGTCTTCGTGTGGATTTTTCCACCTTTCTTCCTCCCCGGCAAATGAGCAGAAATCCCTTCACCCTCCTCCCTGTGTGCTGGGCCAGGAAGAAGGTAACCAAGCAGCCAGCGAGGGACGGCTTCCTCTGAATCCAAAGACGAATGCCACAGGAGGCATGCAGTTGTGGTGGTGGTGCCACCAAGGGCTTGGGAACCTTACTTGTTATGAAGAGAAAGGGTTGTGTAGCCCTAGTGGCATGACGGGTCCAGGAGGCTGGCTGTTTTTCCTTCTCCCAGAGAAGGTGGAACTCTGCAGTTATGGCCGACTCAAGGCTAAAGCATACATGAATCCAATCTGAGCTGGTCACTGGCACCAAAGGTTTATGCTTCCAAGCTTTTGGGCTCGTGCTGGAGCCCATCCTCAGGGAATGAGTGAGCAGTTAGCTGAGGAAACCTGAGCAACTTGATAGCTTCACATCGCAGTGAACAAGGACCTGCATTCAATTTCACAGCTACTAAGATTGTTGGCTGAGTTGGGACAAAAATAGCCAGAGAAATAATTGAAGCCTGGGAAATCAATAGGAGTGCTGATTTACTACTAGCTTACCAGGTATTTAGGAACCGAGGGTGCAACGGCACAAGGAAACAAGAATCAGTTGACTTAATAGCCAACCATCAACAGCCTAATTAACAACTAAAAGCCACGCACGAGGAATCATATAAATACATAGAACAGCCCATTCTGGAGAGAGAGAGGTTGGTTCCCTAATGATGAGCCCGAAAGCTTGGAAGAATAAATCTTCATTCCCAGTGACCAGCTCAGATTGGATCCTGCAACATTATCCTGGGACATGTACATTTGCCTTCGTTCACTAAAGCTGGCCTGTTGGTGGTCCAGATGGCCTACCTGGTCCTCTTGACTTTCACAGCTGGCCGTGA